AGAATTCTCTATAAATCTACCAATGATATCGTTGCATTGCGAATTTAATAATTGTCGCTTATCTATCTGTGCTCATTCAATGGTCTCGGGTAATTAAAGTTAGTAAAAATTAAATCAATTATTACTTTTTTTCCTTCCCTCTTGAGCGCGAACGAATAGAAACGCAAGTAGATTATTATCGAAGTATCTGACATATCTGCGCGATATCTCTCCGGGCTGCCTCTCTGGTATGAATTGGCGGAAAATAAACTTACGACAATTATTACGTGAAATCGATGATCATCAACTTATCTTGTTGACATACAATAGTAGTTAAGTGCATCGATATCAAGAGTTAAGTGCATCTCTCGTAAGTCTTATATAATAGTAATTATTCAAGGAACATATCAAGAGAAACGAATTTATTTTAACGTCATAAAAGTTAAAATGGTGATTTTTTAATCAGATTAATTTTCGTCGGTTGACGTTCGTATCATATATATATGATGACTTTCTGTTACAAAATTTGACTGTTTATTGGCGTTAAGAATAAAAATAAAGTTATTTTGAGTTTATTGATTTTTTTGTGTGCATTCCTTAGGAAGTTTAATATAATAGTCCAGCCTTTAAGTTTAATAAGGCCTTCCACCATTCTGCCATATTTATCGGACTCGCTCGATCGAGTTTCTCCCCTTTCACGCACGTGCGTGAGTGAACGTGGTGAGACTAATAAAAAAGAAACAACGGGATATCGGTGAAAAAAGGGGGGAGAAGAGGAAGTGTTACGATTCGAAGTACGCACGTATCTACGAAAACGATAGAGCGATGACCAGATTGCGCTACAATTGCGTCAATCGAGAGCGTGCATTGTGTGCACGGCACAAAGTCAATTATATAATGTTTAATATCGATAATCGGCGAATACGCATTTAACAATAGTCTCCAAAATAAACAAAGTATCGCTATCTCAATCATGTCGCAATGATCTCCCGATTACAAATCGAATGAGTGCACGAGCGCACCTTTCCTTTTTTTCTCTTTTTTCCTTTCTTTTCCGTCTTCGGGTGAAGGCAAACTTCCCCGACTTCAGGAATTTTTCCTGTTCCCGATTGCCACCTCGAGAGGCTACTGGGTCACCGTCTTCCGCGAAAATAAATCTCCCACTGCTCCGCGTAATAACTAACTAACTATCGATCAAGTCGACGATTTTCGCAAGACACGCGTCAAGATTTTCTGTGACGATTTTCGCAAGACACGGTGTATTTCCGCCGACCGCTTTTTCCAAGGCGAGAGACATTCGCGCGGTTTTCCCCGTGCGTTCGCGGTTCTACCACGAGGAAAGTTCAGGAGATTCGGTCAGTAGGAGTAATCAGATAACGAACGGAATGTAGCGCCAATCACGAATACTTGGAATTTTCATTTATTTGATAATCATAAGCGAATAGCTTTTCCGAGTTCCCCTCATTACCCCTCGCTTATTTTCGCATTGGACGGTCTTGCGGTTTTTATACGATAAAAGTGTTTCCGATCACAAATTGCAAATCTATTATCGCATAAGGATTACTTCGCTTACAGCAAGAGATTATCAATAATAACATAATTAGAAGCATGGATTCGCAGATATGATTGTCTGATTAAATATTACACGGCGATGTGGAGATAAGCGCGTCGAAATAGATAAACGAAGGGAATATCCGAGAAGCAGCACGTGTGGAGAGGTGTATATATACTTACAAATAACGAAGCTTCGTTTCTAATCGATTTCAAACGGAGTTTCAACAAAAAGTATCAGTTAGGAGCTTTCTACAATAAGCCATTATTTAAGCTTTAAGGTACTCGTAGTGGACTTTTATTTTGAGGCTGTCTTAAGTTAATGTCTTAAAATGCTAATATGCGTATGATTGACTTATGATGGCATTTAAGACGGACTTAAATATAAGATCTTAAATATGATACGTCGATTTTTATATTCGAGAAGACTGTCTTAAGTCATGAGCCTTAAGATATCATAAATCAATCAGAGGGAATCTTTTATTAGCATTTTAAGACGTATGTACGTTACTTAAGATAGTCTTAAAATAAAAATGAATTATATGAACACCTGTCTATAAATATCGGCTCATGTTTTAAGCAACTGACTAGTTGAATATGATCAGAAGAATAATCGGCTATGATCGATCAATTTCTTATGGCTTGAGACTTAAAGCTTAAATAATGACTATTGCAGAAAGTCCATTAACGTTTTTAATAATAATGGCCTGACTTTTCGTGAGACGTTCATTGCAAACGACGTACGCAATTAGAAATACGGATAGCTGAGAATCCCGCGACCTCATTTTTACCTCGAAAAGAACGCGTTTTAGTACGTCGATCGTTCTCTATGTAAATAACGTGACTAACGGGAATCAGGTAGAATTTTTATCCGGGTGTCGTTGTGTATCCTGGAAGATGTGTCGTCGAAGGCGCCGACAAGGAAAGTTCGAAGCCGCGTACGAGGAAGAAATAACGATCAGCTGGACGAATGATGATGTCAAGCTGCCATCGCTATGATAGGCAAAGGTCAAGTGAAAAAAATATAGATTTCGATCACGAAATCGGAATTCCCAAACAGAACACAAGTCGTCATGATAAAATGATGTCAAAATAGTTATTATTAAAAATCATTTTTCAATTGGTAACGATTTATTTTAATGTCGTTTTGATGGTATCGTGACTTTTTTTGTGTTTGGGAATTCGCGCGGATTTTTTTTCATATCGGAATACAAATTGAGATTGAGATTGAGATTGAGTTTGACCAATCAAAGCAAAATTCACTAAACTTGATATTGATTCTTTTTTTTTTACATAATTGGTTGAATCCAATCTGATTCTCAATCTTTAATCTGATACTGTATGTATAAATATGCAGAGAACCAAAGTCAACCACAAAATAATAAAATCAACATGTAGTAATCATTTTAGAAAAATTAATTATAATGATATTCGATATACATATATGACAATTTGTAAGTAATTTTTAGTTAAATAATGACTTAAAAATCATTGTCAAGAATTCACTACCAAATTATCGTCAAAAATATATCGAATAATATCATTATGATCTTCTTTTTATTGTCTGCTACTATATCATCTTGATTTTATATTTTATCTAGAAAGAAACGTCGCTTTATTCCAATCCTCGTGAAATTCTCGAAGAGACGGAAGGTTGAAACGTTGACCGGAAAACGCTTCCGTCCCTCTTTGTTCCGACGCAATCGAGTTACAGCGTGCATTCACCGAGAACGCGAGACATGCCTCCTCAGCGAGATGTGTATGTCATTGCATTGTCGGGGCACGTGCGTGCGTATGTACGTGATCACACACGGACGGACAGCAGCGGAATAGAAAACGCGTGGCCGAAGGTTCATTCACCAAATCGAAAGAAATTACCGAGCGAAGGTTGAACGGACGATTGTTGTTTGTGAAGAAGTCCCGTCGTATTGTCAATATCAGAAAAATCACGCTTCTATCGTAATATACGCAAAATATTTTATTATTGTTGAATTTAAAAACGATAAAAAATAATAATAATAATAAATAATAATAAGACTCTGTAAGTATAAAATAAAAAAAAATAATTGAAAAGCTAAGAGTTCTTTTATGTAATAAAGAACGTTTAATTTAAAACAATTACAAACGTTTCGATAGCGATCGGGTCATTCTCAATGTTACAGTAAATACATGACTATAAAATAATTGGAAATCTACAATATTGCTTCATAATAGTATTCTCGTTTTCTTCCTATTATCATAATGTTGCAATAAATTAAAATAGTAAGGTTATTGAAAAATTCATAGCAGTAATGCAGTAATAATCTTATTAAATGATAATCTTTTGTAAGAATTCCTATTGTATAATGATAAATTGTTTATGTTAGTATACTTCTTTAAGTATGGGGTGAAACTAATTTAAATTTGATACAACATTTCAAAAACCTAATACGCACTCTAATGTTAACGCTCAATTTTATAAGGTGACAAAATTTTTTTAAAAAATCACAAGCTTTTATATCCAAAAATAATGTTTTTTTTTTATTAAAACCGAGGTATATTTTTCGGAATCTCGTTTTGCGAGTTGTCGTTATCACAAGGTTTTGCGAAAGTCACAAGCGATTAGTAGAATAGCGACAACAAAGAATATACAAAAGTCAAAATGACTTGATTTTGATTCTTAACAATAAACAGTTAAATTTTATATTAAAAAAAAATCATTTTAACTTTGGGGTTCCTTGATGAAATGATGTTTTGTAAAAATTGCGCGTGTTAAACGAGCAATTTATTTCTACAAAAACGAAAAAAACATATTGGTGATAACGGTAAAACAAACGACAACTAATCGGATAACAAAGTCAAGATAAGTGCATGGTAAGGCGATCTAAGTCCATTAAAGCGTAAATTCTCGTGGAAAATGCGTAAATAACTTCTGTATGCGCGAATAGATTAACTTATAATACCCTAAGATCTCTTCGACATGAGCTGGCGGGTTGCGTTTAGAATTATCATCCAAATACACCCAGATGTATTGTTTTATGACACCTGGATACATCCAAACCCTAAACGCGACCCTACGTTGCTTTCTGATTCTTTCTATAAACGATATTAAAATGAATAATATAGAAATTTTTCTTTTAAAAAAATTTAGTAATTTAACAGTTTTGTAAATAATATTTTTCATTATCTCTATACTCTTGCGCAACAAAAACGGTTTACGTTTAAAATGAGCAACGTAATTTTGTATGTGATTATAGCGTTTGCCTTGGTTATATGATAAAATTAGTCGGTTAAATTTTCGGAATGACGAAATCATCGTTCATTTCTACAAATGTAAAATAACTTTAATTTCAGTTTAATTTCCTATTTTATATCATTTTATAAGTGTTAAAGAAACTAGAAAAAGATAAAAAGTAAATTAAGCGAAGAAAATTAATTTTTCTACAATAGTAGAGATAGATATTAATGATGTAAATTCATGAAAATTGCAGGCGGGCGACTATCGCAACGATGGATATTTGCTTTCATGGGGTTTTTGGCGATCCTGAATGCCTATTCGATGAGAGTCTGCCTCTCGATCACTATTACGGAAATGGCGATCCCGGTGAAACACAATTATACAGACGAAACTTGCAATTATGATCATGAAAAAACCAATGAAACTGGAACAGAGGATAATTCGATGGATGGGAGATACAATTGGGATGAACGTACGCAGGTAAAAGATATTTTACACACTTAATATAATTATAATTAATGGTATCAAAATGTGCTATCATGTTTTACCCCTTTACTTTTAGGGTAAGATCATGACGATAGACGAAGTGTCGGCTGATTTTTGTGTCGTTTATTTCTCAATATATATATATGTATATATAATCGCTCACATGGGTATGACACAATTTTAATTGTTCCTCAAACAATTAAATATACTTACAACAATTAGTTACTTGACGCAGATACAACAGACACTTTATCTATAAGCACACAGTACATTTTATTCTTTAGAGGGAAAAACGTAGGTTTTTTTTTTAACAATTCTGTGCTGCATGAGTGTGTTCTTGCCCTGAATTATTTATTTCTCTTTTTTCCATTTTATATTTGTTCTTATGTTTTGCTCTTCTTTACTTCTTTTCATATCTTTTTCTTGCTCCAGGGCCTTATCCTCTCGTCCTTCTTCTGGGGCTACATTGTTACGCACATACCGGGTGGAATACTATCTGAGAGATTCGGCGGTAAATACACTCTCGGTCTTGGCATCTTTTCGACCGCGATATTCACCTTGCTGACTCCGCTGGTAGTCCAATGGGGCGAGGAGGTCGGTCTGATCGTGTTGCGGATTCTCATGGGTCTCGGCGAAGGTACGACCTTCCCGGCGTTGAATGCCATGCTGGCGCAGTGGACGCCGCCGGAGGAGAGATCGGTAATCGGTTCGCTGGTATTCGCTGGCGCCCAGCTCGGTACAGTGTTCGCCAACCTGATATCAGGCCTGATCCTGCACGAGTACAAGTGGCCTGTGGTCTTCTACGTGTTCGGCGCCATTGGCGTACTGTGGTTTGCAGTGTGGGTGCTAATTTGCTACAATAACCCGTACGAGCACCCGTACATCTCCGACCGCGAAGTCAAGTTTTTACATGAACGTATGAACGAGCACACTCATACGAAACCACCGACCGTACCCTGGCGGCACATGTTGCGCTCGGCGCCCCTCTGGGCCCTAATCGCCGCTCAAATCGGCCATGACTGGGGTTTCTTCACCTTGGTCACTGATCTGCCCAAGTACATGAGTAGCGTGCTTGGATACTCCATCAAGAGCAACGGTCTGGTCTCTGCGTTACCCTACCTCATCATGTGGTTCTGTAGCATAGGATCATCTTGGTTAGCCGATTGGATGATCACCAAGGGCGTCATGTCGCGTACCAACGTGCGAAAACTTGGCACCACAATTGCCTCCATAGGCCCGGGGGTCTTTATTATCGCCGCCTCCTACTCCTCGTGCGATCGAACGCTGGTGGTAGCCATGTTTACCATTGGCATGGCTCTAATGGGTACGTATATATACGCAACTTTCCATTCCTCGGATAATATTACTACAATTTGTAAGGTAAACGAATACATGAACCGAAATATTCCTTTACTTTTTTCACATACATTGTTAAACATTAAAGGAGCAATGATAACCCAATCCTATGAGTTAAATAATATTTATTAAATAATATAAATCAATCTATTTCTGCGATTTCAACGTGAATATATAAATTAAATTTGAATTAAATTTAATATACTTCTTGAGTTAAATTGTTTCCATCGTTTTAGTTAAATTAATGACATGCTAAATAAGAGCAATAACAATTAACCTGGAGAAATGATTAAAAACAACTTATTTCTTCTTGTCTAAAGGTACCTTCTACCCCGGAATGAAAGTCAACGGGTTAGACCTCACTCCCAATTACTCCGGCACCTTGATGGCGCTGGTGAATGGAGCAGGTGCCATCACAGGGATCATCACACCATACATCGTCGGAGAGCTGGCGCCCCAGCAAACTATGACCCAATGGCGAATCGTTTTCTGGATCGTCCTGGGTGTTTTCATCCTAACAAACGCGGTCTTCGTCGCATTTGCCAGCGGCGAAGTTCAGTATTGGAACGACCCCGATTTCATCATACGAGATCGGGAGGAAAGGTTGCAGAAAAAGAACAAAAAAGCGATATCGGCGGAAAAGTCATGAAAACATGACGCTTTTCCTCGTGGTGCCTTAGAGAGTGATTTTAACAAATGAAAAGTAAACCTGACTTGTTAATAATCTCGTGACATATCGTCCCTTCTCGACGATCTCTTAAGGTCCGCCCGTCGTTTTGTTACAACTTTCAACAAAGATCTCACATCTGCGTGAAGGAAAGATGCCCGAAAAATATGCGCATTAACACCTCTAGTCCATGATCCTTGGATAACAATTTGCGCATGGCATTAAGTCGCTTGGTGCCGAAATGCATCTCGAGTTCACGTCAACCCGTATCGCGAACGCTGAATGTGCCGGCGACGTTTACGCAAGCGAGTCTTTTCGTCGTGAAAGAGGAAACTGTAAATTAAAGCCGATAGATCAACACACAGCGATTGTACATATTACGTAGGGTTTAAGTAAATGTACAGTATAAATATAATTTAATTAAATAAAACACTGCACGCGCATCTTTATTTCTATTACTCGAATCTTTCCAGATAATCTCACAGAATTCGATTCAGTGAATCTTATTGTGAAAGAGCGATCGATTATATTGGCGAGCGTGTTTTTTGTCGAGTTATCCAGTCATATTTAGACGTGGCTATTTAGTATCCAACGGCTCAGAATACAAATGAGATGCTTTAAGGAGTGCATATCAACCTGTCAACTTTCTATCGGTATTTTTCGTTCGATATATGCGCTAAATACGATATGCAGCGTACATGATGTGCCGTTCATTCAAAGATATACTACAATTAAGTAAAATGTAATGTAAAACATTCTGCGTCATCGAATAAATAAATGAGCGGCGGTTTCGATCAGCGGCTTTATTCTCGAAAAATATTTAGAAAATCTATAATACATTGCTAAATATAGGAATTAAGTTAATAACATTTTGTTATTTTTTACTTCAATGTGTATCAAATTGTAAATTGATCCATTTCTGTGATTGATTTCAAAATAAACAACAGCCATGTTAATTTGGTAGATCATAAACTAAATTTGAGCTTTTAATACATTTTTTTTTATTCAAATTGACTTATAATTTTACATTGTAATTTTAACAATGTATATACCTATATACTATTTGTATACAAGATATATGTATACTATTTTCGAGAATAGGATCCTAGGACATCGATGGCACTCCATGAAAATTGCAGATTTTCTGCAGATTTTTTTACCCTAATCATGTGTTCAAAATCCACTTGACGCATATTATTTTACTATTTTAAACGCTATAATCTAAAAATACGCTAATTACGAAAGTGAACTTTCGCAATTGCATCCACCTCTTGTTGAAATCAAAAGCGTGCCTTATCGAAAAATGTGCCTTGGCGAAAACGTACCGCAAATTGAGGAATAATCGACGTGTTCACCAACGGCCATTTGAGGTCTTTCTCGCCTAACGTCATTCGCGAAATATGCGCGTCACTGATATCGTAGAAATATTTCATTTTTTACTTTCATACGCGTTTCTTACCGTGTTTATTTGGAAGGTTAACGAGTAAATGTATTATAAAAGTATTAACTGATACGTGACGCGGCTTATAAATCGCTAATTCAGTTTTTGTTATATCATGCTAACTTATTAATCGTCAATGATCCGGATCACATTTCACGAACCGCTCCACGAAGTTTAAAAATTATTCTCTGTTATCGCTCTTTCATTTACAATTTACATTATCGGTATCGATATTTCTCTGTAAAGGTTCAGAAAGCAGAAATTTAAACTTTACGATCCAAGAAATAAAATCGAAGATGTTTTATATATAAGAAGAGGAAAATTTTTTTTCGATGATATTCGAAATATAACAATAGATAATTACATGGTCCTCGTGATCAACATCAGATTTATATTATAGTTTAGCTAAATTTTATCTTTCATCGAGATTTTGTTGGATATAACACGCCAAGTATATTTAAATGTGTCAATTAAAAATCAATTAAATTGCTTCGATAAGAAATACAAATGCAGATATGCAAGTGCAAATAGGAGAGAGTATAAATTTTCGATAAGATTACGATGCACAGGATGTGTGTCCGGGGTCGTCGAAATTATTTCCTCGAGCGACGTCTCGAGTCGATGTTTTACAACTTTACGTAATCGACAGCGGGACCGTAAGAGATGATAAATGACATGACGATAATATTATAAGAAGGTCAAATGGAATTTTTCGTTGTACTACGTGAGTGTAATTAATTCTGCGATTACAATATCGTATCCGATAAATATAAAGAATCGTCCAATTGCTCGTCGGCCGATTAAAATTGAACGTAATCGAGCGTATCAAATATTTTATATCTTTTTCGGACTTGACTTCCTCTAAGTTCCTTGTCTTTTATCTTGAATGCGAGTTATAGATTTAAGTTGCACGCGAAATAAGAGCCGATTGGACACAATTCCAAACAAGTGGACGTCTCGCTTATTTCGTTATTCGTGAAATTTTATATATATAGATATATGTATAATACAATAAATTATATAATTAAACATGTAAATAATATATATGTAAAAAATATATATTTACTTATATAATATTATTAATATATGCATATTTAAATATACAAATAATTTATATTTAATTATATAATATGTGTAATATAAATATATAAAATATATATTAGATATATAAACTATATGTATATTTTATAAAAAATTCTTACATAATTTAAACAACTTATTTCTCACTCGCTTGAATCCCGGCATTTATTTAATCACATGGCATTTGCTATTGGATAAATTATACGCTCGAGAATCAATCATATATTATTACATGTATTGTACACGTTAATGACAACAGTCACCCGCACGTAATTATGCGCTACCTGATTTTTAACGAGCTTTACGCAGGCAGCATTTTTTTTTTTAAGCAGACGTTTAATTAGGCAACGCGTACATCCGCGGTACCAGGTGTTTTTCCTATACGAAAGAAATGCACGGGCCGCACGTTACGCGCCAACACGATCACACGGACGATTAAATTCGTAAAAGTTCCTTGCGGAAACGCTTGAATTGTTGCACCAAAGATATTTCGCGAGGATGCAATTTTTGCCAGGATTGCGTGTAGAAGCAGGAAATGCGGTTCGGCAAAAAGACGTTGTTGCATAACCGTCAAGACTTGCTTTGCTTTAGTTGCATTTTATACACACCGTACTCTCCTTTCCCTCCTCCTCACCTCGAAATCCGAATGTGTACATTCTATAGATAATATGTACGTCAATGCGCTGATATATATAAACCTCATTACAAAAAAGAGAGGGATAAAAAGAGAAATGAACACAGATTCCAGGGTTTCATGGGTAGCAATCCTATTTTTATATCAGGATATTTCAATTTTTGTCGAGCGCGGAAGAAGCCCATCCAGAGGCTAAAGTGTATGTATATAATATGTGTGTGTGTGTGTGTGTGTGTGTGTGTGTGTGTGTGTGTGTATCTTCCGATAATATACTTTCGTAATAAAACGAGAAATATCTCGTATTTTTTTTAACTCGTTTTTTTTTTTTAACTATATAGGAGTAATAAAGAGATAATTATGCGCACACTTTAAACACACGCACTCTAATTACATGCGTAATGATATGGCATTCTATATGTACAAATATACTACGATAATTAATGAAAAAGAATGGAATTGACGTGGTATATACCTATATCTGAGTTACCGCATATTACGTATCATATGGCAATAAAACAGAAAAAAAGGTGTACGCATTGCAATTCTTGCGAGATCCGAGGTGGTAGAGCTACAAGGAGACGGACACCGTCGCAGTCTTTAGATTTATATTCATGCTATGCAGGAATTCTCGACGATGTCTCTAATAATCATCGGTGATCGTCTATCGCGAATTGGATCGTAATTTTTCAGGAATTTATATATTCATATGTATAATTAATATGTATGCGTTTGTATATCGATGAAAAGCCTTATCTTGTCTTTGCTGACTAGCACAAAAGTGTAATGTTAAAAAAAGTAATAACATACAATTGCAGTAATGTCATATTTACTAATTATTCTACTTTTTTTTGTATGTAATATTTATTAATAGAAAAAAATGTGTTCAACTATAAATTAATATAACACAATTTAATATAAATATGTATAATATGTATATTTAATATTATGTACGTGTATATAATATTAAATATATCTTTTAATTTAATTAAATGTATTGTGCTACGTTTATATTAAATTGTAAATATAATTTATGTAATTAAACATAATATATGTAATATGTATAAACACGCATTAAATGTAAGTGTGTGTACAGTATATAACACATTTCATAGATAAAGTCAAAATAATATCGATCAAAAGCCTTATCTTGTCTTGCTGACTAGCAAAAAAGTAATGTTAAAGAAATAATGATGTACAATTAATTATACCATACTCGCTAATTTTTCTACTTTTTCTTCTGTATGTAATATCCATTATTAGAACAAAATGTGATCAACTAAATTTAAAATAATTTGCAATTACGCTTAATTATCATATTAGATTCAAATTAAATATTTCTAATGCGCGACGAAATTACTGCGGAACGATAACGATATTTGCGCGTTGTCAGTGTATTGCCAATGACATAATTTTGTTACATATAAAAATCTATTAAAACTATTAGGATTAAAAATATTTAAAAAATCTCTTACATCTTTAATTTAATTCCCAGCTATAATACGGTCTAAAATTCTAGGATACCATTATTAACGGGCGCGCTGTACTATAATAATAAAGTATAAAAGTTACAGGTTCCTATTCTATAATTCTTAACGACAGTCGGTATTGTTATACAATATATATTAATATATGATAAAAAGATTATTCTTATGAATATTTAATATAATATATTTATTAATATTTCGGAATAAAATATTTATATAAATTATTCTTTGAAAAACTATTCTTTCTTAAATAAATATTTCAAAAATAAGTATATATTTTGTAATAAACATTTTATAGTATTTTACAAAATTCTTTAAAAATAATATTCAATTCTAAAGACCGTTAATGTAACATCATAACTAATATGAATACGAAGTCTATAAATATAGCTTGGACATTAGTTGCTTATATATAATTTCGCGTGAATTTATGTACTGATAATCTTTCTAAAACTGCGCACCGAACAATCGGTCTTGAAACACGACTCTAATAAACTACTGCAGTACTATCACGAATTAAATTGATTAACAATTTAATAATTAATTGATGCTCTTTTGGCATCTTATATCGATGTTAAACTATAATAAAATTTAAACTTAAAATTAAAAGTTAAACTATATATTATTAAAATATTGTTCGGCGCGCAGTTTTAGAAAAAGACTACATATATCAGTATATAAATTAAATTATATATAAGCAACTATAAGATCAAAGTCGGACTGTTATAGGCCTCGTATTCTTTAAAAATATTGTACAAATAATATATATATAATATATGTTATAAGAAAAAGAATATTTCAAAGACTCTAAAAAGATATATAAATATAAATATAATATTTTAGAAAAATTTCTGAAATACATATTTCAAATCCTGCCATAAAATATTTAGAAATATTTCTAAAATATTTCATGTTGTATTGGATAATGACAACATATAACGACCGATTGCCGTTAAGAATTACAGAATAGGAACCTATAGGATCTCACAAGTCAGCGTAATCTAACCTAACTTTTAACTCCAACACAGTTTAATCTCGTTATTGTAACTCGCAACCTGAACCTCAATGACGTCGTGCGGCGCGATGTCAGACGCCTCACGAAGAATACCGGCGAATCTCAAACCGTTTCGCATCATCGTCTTCCACATGACACTTACCTCTGTCGCTGGTTCTCGATCATGAATGCGGGATACGATGAAGATCTGACAGAAAATCGGTTCCTGCGGGAACTCCGAGACGGACATGAGACCACGTTTCAGCGAGCCGTTCAGGAAGGCTGGATCATCTGCGTTCCGCGGAGCGGCAGCTTCATCAGCCGCAGATTAGAAGAGGACGAGGTCAATGCTCACATCCTGGTCCCTGGACAGGATCTCTCTGTCGCCGGCTTCAGCAGTCTAAGCGGCAGAGAGGTCTTGGTCGAGGATCGAGTCCTGTACGTCAAGCACGATGATGCAGAACGGTATTCCTCGCGTTTGCTCTTCGAGGAGATCTTCTACAACGATGATTCTCGTAAATATTGTGCATGGTAAGCTGACACTTGATCGCCACAATTCTGGATGTTGGTTTGACGTTATACTTCTGTTTTATAGGTGCATTGAACGGCCTCTGGAGGCCAGCATGTATGTTTCGGATAACTGTGTGAGTGTGATTACGAATCTGCAGGAAGCCGTAAATTTTCTTCAAGTGGAACTGCTCGACAGTCAGCTGCGCGACGGTCTGGAGACCAAGATCAAAGACTTCCTGTACGTTAATAAGAATCTGGAGCGCAAATCTGTGCAGACGCAAAGAGATCTGGTGCACGAACTATATGCTGATTGTCTCGAGATGCTGCTGGATAACGCGACGTTGAGAAAGAAGACTTCAGACAATAAGCAGTATCATTGGAACATCAGAGTATCGTTAGAGACTTACATTCTGTACGCTTTGAGAGATGTCCTGTTAAAATCATTGTCCGCTGGTACCACTGTAGAGGATGCAAGTCTGAACAAGATCATTAGAAACTTAGACGGGATCCAATTGAGCGATCTCCGAGTACGATCAGACTTGCGGTCTCACGTTCACGGAGGAAAGATGGAATTGTCACGATTGGACTCTTTCGTAACTGTGCTAGGCAAGATAGAGTGTCTCAGAAGGAGCGTGAATTACGTATCGCACGGAACGTTGTCATCCGTCACGTCAGACGATTTCTTGCCGGTGCTTGTGTTCTTCATCGTCAATGCTGGCCTGTCGAACTGGATGGCGCAATTATACTTTATGAGACAATTTCGTCTCTCCACGAGCTCTGCTTACGAGACAGACGAGACTGGTTTCTTGATAACTTCGCTTGAAGCCGCGATCATGCACATCAAATCTGGAGTAATCTACAGCGATGAGAAATACAGTACATTAATGAGCCAATCGGAACACTCATCTGTCAATTATTTATTCGCATGCATCAAGAATGGCAATCTTTCCGAGGTGAAAAGAATTTTAACGTATAGCAGATCCAACGAGGTCGACGATGTCACGCTCTGTCATCCCTTGTGCACCTGCGCGTCCTGTGAGCGAAATTGGACGAAACAGCGGGACCTAAATACGTGTCCCAAGGACGATAAGGGTCTGACGCCGTTGCACATCGCTGTGCTGCACGATCAGATTGTAATCGTGGACTTTCTTCTAAGCCACGATACGGATATAAACGCCGTCGACTCGGATGGCCTGACGGCTCTTCATTACACCTGCATCAAAGGTCACCAGAATATCCTGCTGCTGATGCTGCATGCGAACGCGGATCCTGCGGTAACGGACTCTCGAGGGAACACTCCGTTACACCTGGCAGTGGACCGCGGTCACGAGAACTGCCTGAAGGCGTTGCTGTATCTGACGGAGCACATGAGGATACCGGTTAACGCGAACGTCGCAAACGACAACGGCGATACCCCTCTGCATCTCGCAGCCCGGTGGGGCTACTACGCGATCGTTGACATCCTCCTGGAATACGGCGCCAGCTGCAGAATGACCAACAAGAAGGGTCAAACGCCATTAATGGTGACATACAGCGAAACCATCGCAGAGTCGCTCAGATGTAACGCGGCGTCAAGCAGCCTCTGCAACGACGTTGCCTTGTCCCAACGTCGTCCTCTCGTTCAGCCTTGTCACCAGTCGGTGCCTTTTCAGCAGCAGCAGCGTCGTCGGGGCACGTTGGAGAACAAGAGTCCGTCGCATCCTAAGAGCTATGCCAACGCGATGCAACATCGTATGATGGACAAATTGCTCGCTGCCATAGTCGACGGTGATATATGCCTGGCGTGTTATTACCTGGGTCTGGAGATCTATTGCGAGCGGCCGCCAGGCGTTCGCACGAGTCTGTGCCATCATCCGCTCTGCGACTGCGAACGGTGCTCGGCGCTCGGCGCCGAGGGTAAATTGGAGCGCAAACAGAGGCGACGAACGCTGGCGATCAACACCTGCAACAGTCTTGGCGAGACGGCGTTGCACGTGGCGAGCGCGACCGGCCGCACAAAGATGGTACAGCTGCTGTTAGACGCTGGTGCGAATGTGAACGTAGTAACCAAATCCGAGGGCCGTACTCCGCTGCATCTGGCATGTCTCCACGACCGCGTCGACGCGGCGAAGCTGCTGTTGAACTGCGCGACCTGCGATGTGGACGCCAAGGATCGTAAGGGCGACACGCCGTTGCATCTGGCGACCGTGGCCGGCAACGTCAAGTCCGTCAGCCTGCTGATCAGATCTGGTGCGTGCACCAATACGCGCAATCTGCAGAATAAAACTCCGCTGCGGCAGGCGGAGGAGGTGCTATCCGTCGCCTTCTCCACGAATCGTGCCAATATACTGAAGGTTCTAAAACAAAATTCGGCACAGTCAGCCGACGATTGATTGGCACTTTCAGCTTTCTTGTGTCTTAAACTATTCCGTCTTTTCTACGTCTTTTCTATTTACCTCATAGATTAGTCACTGAATAGTTTTGCTAGAAGTAGTCTTTAACATATTAAAAGTATCAAATGCTTATTGACTCTTTTTATTTTTTGCATTAATATTATATCATATTTTTGTAAAAATAAGATGAGATTTTTTTACTTTTTGTCCTTAATTTTATGTCCTTTTGTACTGATGAGATACTGATGAAATTATTTTTTATCACTTTTTTTACTTTTATAGTAATTTATTTGTTTGATCCTTTTAATGAGCAAAAAACGTTGATATACTTCTGGTGTTAATATAATACGTGTATAATATTTCTTCAGTAGATATCCGATTGCAACAGGCAAAGAAATGTCTATTCTTGCTTACTCTAATACATTAAAGACTATACCATGAAATAATTAATTTTTATTTTATATATTTCTGTTTTTATTTTTTTTTTTAAGTCATATACCTCATGAACGTGATTAGCAATATCTTAGCATAATTCTAACTTCGTCCGAACACACATAACTTATTAACTCTGGTCTAATAAGCATATTATATTTAATATCACACGTATATTAATTGTGATTCTAAAATTATATCCCTTGCGCGCTTTATTTTTTCCAAGTTAAATGAGATTTCTTCTTTAGAATTGCTTGTGTAAATTGCACAAACTGTTATACTATACCGAGCAATATTAGTGAGATTAACAATATTATAGTAAATATATAACTGAGACAAACAATGCAATATATATATAAGTCAAATAACAAATAGATTTATATATTTTATGAATATATTATCAGAAGTCACACATAAAAATATATATTTAAAGCAATATAAGACTTGAAAATTGTTTTGTATGAAATAAAATATAGAATATATATGTATTCCTACGATGTGTTTTATTACAATTTGTAGTTTATTTAGACTGTATTTCGAGAAGGAAAATAAAAGATGTACAAAGAAAGATATATAAAAATATATGTTCACATATATATTTTTTTGTACGGTATGTAAAAGAAAATTCGTATTTGTAGTACATACAGAATGTATAGATTGCTGTAGGTGCAGAGACTAATAGATTACCAACATTCTTTTTTTTTTTCAAATTAAGATACTATATAGTAATACTACTATTTCCCTAGTACACAATAGAAAATAATTTTGTGATGCGTAAACATTATTATTTTTATTGAATTATCAGCATCATAATTTTTTATGAATTGCGATCGTTTGATGTTTCCTAGCAACGAATTGCGATAATAAAGAAAAGAATGGATTTTTAACGGTCACTTCTCTGTCAAGTAATAGATTTGTCCAACTTAACCTTCAATTTCTGAGCATGTCATGTATGTCAGCTGTTAAAAAAAAAATCTAAGTGAAATTTAATTTCTTGTTGCAACTTTACCGATGTAAAGGATATTTGACAGACGATTTTCCAGTAGACTGACAAAAAAACATTTCGAATTGTAATTTTAATAAAACAAGACGAATTGATAGGTAAGTGTATTCACGTCGGTTTCGATTTGTTGGTTATTTCTTCGCTGTTCTTGACTTGTGAGCAATACCGGTGTCTGCTTGTTATCCGCAAATGTTGCATCACTTTAGTCGAAAATTAAACTAAAAATTGTCTTATAGTCACTTCACGAACTGACATTCCCAATCAATACTCGTTACATTCTAAAATTTATTGTTAACATTTTCTTTCGTGTAATACAAATTTTTCCTTTTCTTGAATTGATATTGTATACTTTAAAGTGGAATGTCTGTCAGTGATCTGTTGTATCAAGTTTTACATATAATTTAAATTTGTTCACGATTGTTCAAGAGAGATTGGTAAGTATCATTATCTTTAAAGAACACTTATAGAATATAATTCCATGTAATATATAATTTCCATACTGCTTTAAACATGAACTTTGTAATCCTAAATTATATAATTGACAAGCTGTCTCATTATTTTTAGGTACAATTTTACTTCTCTGCCGTTTTAAACGTAAAATCACTCCAAGATGCTAAGACTATTAAAGTTATCGAAGAATTTGCTTTTGAGAGGTACAGCTTTATCACAGCATATCACATATCGTACCTTCAAATCATCAATATGTGCTATGTCGAGTACGTTGCATTCAAGAAAGGAACTGGTGCAGGATGAACTGGCTAAATTCAAGAAGGGCGAAGTTCTTCATGGATTTATAGTTGATGAAGTCTCAAGCATAGATGAGTTGTTCCTTACTGCAGTGAGGTTGACACATTTGAGTACAGGTGCACAGTACCTGCATTTAGCCAGGGACGACACTAACAATGTCTTTTCCATTGGATTTCGTACGACTCCCATGGATTCCACAGGATTGCCTCACATACTGGAGCACACCACTCTGTGTGGTAGCGAGCGATATCCCTGCAGAGATCCATTTTTCAAGATGCTAAGGAGATCCCTGGCTACTTTCATGAACGCTATGACTGGACCGGACTATACTATATATCCATTCTCGACACAGAACTTAAAGGACTATCGCAACCTACAGTCAGTCTACTTGGACTCCGTCTTCAAACCGAATCTGCGAGAATTGGACTTCCGACAGGAAGGATGGAGATTAGAACACACGGATGTCAACGACAAGAACTCTCCCATTATATTCAAGGGGGTAGTCTTCAACGAAATGAAGGGTGTTTTCAACGACAATCAAGCCATCATGGCGGAACGTTTGTTGAATTCTATTCTACCAAGTCACACGTATTCTGTAATTTCCGGCGGCGATCCCCTTGTCATACCTAATCTGCAATACGTTGATCTCCTTAACTTCCACATGAGATACTATCATCCCTCCAATTCGCGCTTTTATTCCTATGGAAATTTCCCTCTGGAGGACCACCTGAAATTCATCAATGATCGGTATCTTTTCTTATCTGATAGAATGGACATTTCCATGTCAGAAGTACCGGCAGAAAAGCGGTGGATAGAAGCTAAAAGGGAACATGTTGCGTGCAAACTCGATCCATTGCTCGCAGATCCTAGCAGACATGGCACTATTGCCATCGCACACTTATGCAACGACATAACTGACATACAGACTACTTTCGAGATGTACGTGTTGTCGCAGCTGTTGCTGAGAGGTCCGAATTCAGCGTTTTATAAATCTCTAGTTGAGTCGAATATAAGCACTGGCTTTGGCCCATTCACGGGTTTTGATTCACAGTGCAGAGATACGATGTTCGTTGTGAGTTTGCAGGGCGTGAAGCCGGATGATTTCGAAAAAGTCGAGAGTATCTTCGACAAGACTGTGCAGAAAGTTATCGAGGAAGGATTCGAGAAGGATCACGTCGAAGCTGTCTTACACGGCATCGAGCTCCAAGTGAAGCATCAAACGTCGAACTTCGGGTTGAATTTGCTCTTCAATCTGACATCATTGTGGAATCACAATGGTGACTTAGTACATTCGTTGCGAATCAACGATGCGATGAAGAAACTCACATCACGAATGAAAGAAAACCCTAAATATCTACAAAGTCTAATCGAAACTTATCTTAGGGACAATAATCATAGATTGACGTTGACGATGTCGCCGGATGAAAATTATGAACAAAATAAAGCGCTTGCCGAACAAGAGCTGCTGAGGACAAAGTTGGAGGAACTTTCCATGGAGGAGAAGGAACAGATATATAAAAACGGAAAAATTTTGCTCACTGAGCAACAGAAAAAAGAGGATGTTGAAGTCTTACCAACGCTGAAGATAGAAGATTTAAAAGCCGACGTGGAAAGATACAAGACCTCCGATTTAGAAGTATCCGGAGTGCCTCTTCAATTGTCCATACAACCGACGAACGGGATTTCCTATTACCGAGGAATACTCAACACGCAAGCGCTGCCAATCGAACTGAAGCAGCTGATACCGCTGTTCAACTACGTTATCGCCAAGATGGGCACGCAGAATTATGATTATAGGAGTTTCGATCAGATGATGCAGCTGAAAACTGGCGGTCTAAACTTCATGAATCATATCGCCGAGCATAAAGAGAGCGAATTGAAATACGAGGAAGGGATTCTCATAGAGTCATATTGTTTGGATCGCAATTCGAACGATATGTGGAAATTGTGGACGGAGCTGTTCAACAACGTTAGACTTACTGACCTTCAGAGATTCGAGACACTCGTGAAGATGAACGCGGCCGACTTGATCAACGGTATCTCACACGCCGGTCACATGTATGCGATGAGTAGCGCCGCTAGCTTGGTCTCTCCAATAGCTCGAGCAAAGGAGAGTCTCTCGGGATTGCAATACATCTCGAGAATGAAGAAAGTGGCGCAAATGCGAGACTTAACTTCTCTGCTGCGCAACATGCATGAAATAGCTACTCATGTCTTGAACAAGGAACACCTACGGTCAGCCATTAACTTGTCCGAGGAACATCAGAATGATGTTCTTAATGGTATTTACTCGTTCTACGATTCTCTGAAGGGTCGTTCAGAGGATCCATACATTATTACCAGTGACCGAAGCATCGATACGAAAGAATGTGGCAATCATCACGTCCTGCCGTACACAGTGAACTATTGCTCTAAGGCCATTCTGACTGTTCCTTATACGAATCCGGATTATGCGGCGTTACGTGTGCTGTCTAAGTTAATCACCTCGCTGTATCTGCATCCAGAAATTCGAGAGAAAGGCGGAGCTTACGGCGGAGGCGCAAAATTAACATCGGAAGGAATCTTCTCCTTTTATTCTTACAGAGATCCGAATTCCACTCGTACCTTTGATTTGTTCGAAAAGGCGTATGATTTTCTAATAGGATATCCATTATCTCAGACCGAAGTAGACGAAGCAAAATTAGGAATCTTCCAGCAAATCGACGCTCCCATTCCTCCCAGTAATCGAGGTCTGACCAGATTCGTAACTGGCATTACGGACGATGATCTTCAAAGGCAAAGGGAGCAGCTAAAAGCTGTGACTAAGGAAGAGCTCTTGTATGTGGCAGGAAAGTATCTAAAACCAGACCAAAATGATATCAGAATTGGCCGTTCGCTTATTGGACCTACAAATGCGGATATTTCAAATAGGCACAAAGAAAACTGGCTAGTGCTAAATCAGGAAGAAACAGATCGAGCACGAGCCACTGACTAAATAGATGTTAAAAAATTATTTTGTTACTTATAATGAAGGTTTTTTTTAAGTTGAACCGCAGATGTATCAATGCGTTGTTAAGCGTTTCCTGTGACATATAGATATTAGTAATTGAGAAATATAACGTATAAGTTAGTTAATAATATATAATGTCAAGTATTATATAATTTATGCTATTTTTGTATATTAAATATATCTCAGTGAAGGGATGTAAAATAAATATTTTGCTTAATTTATTTCTCACCTTCATTCATTCTTACATACAGATACATGGATCAAATTATATATTTACTATAAGCAAAAATGTAATGACCTTTTTTATTTTTTTTTTTTAGTCAAATGATACATGGATATTGATGGTGAAAAGAAATATTTTGTTGAAGCACTATGCTTCTTTTACGAAACGCAGTGGCTACATAATATACCAGTAACCGAAATATTAACTAAAACATCTTTAGATGCAGTCCCTAAAGAATGGCTAGAACAATTACAAATTTTAGAAAATGAAGAACTTAATAATTTTGTAGTGGAAAAAATAATAAAGGTTAGCTCAGAAGAGTATCACAAATATTCTGTACCTAATTATTAAATTTATTAAATAAATTAATTATTGTTTTAGCCTGCTTGGCCTGATTCCTTAAAAACATATGTTGCAAAATGTAAGAAAATTAATAGACTGCCACCCATGCCTGCATTGCCTTCGGTAGAACTACCGCAAAATTTTAAAATAGGTCTAAGCGAAAAAAAACAACATGAAATAATTCATTTAGCTTATTTAGTGGACGTACAATGCAAACTGCATGATATACGAACGATCATTGATTTGGGTGCGGGTTTGGTAAGAAAATGTTAAAAAAAAAGATATGAATATATATCATATTTTAATCAATCATAGTATAAGGGCAAAGTAAGAGTCAAAATAAATTAAATAAAACTGATAACAAATTTACTTATGAAATAAAACCAAATACATTACAATAAATAAGCAATTTACAACAATTATTTGACTTAAAATTAATTAAACATTAAGTGACCAGTTTCGATTCTCTAATTGAGTCCTCTTCAGACTTCAATTCATACTCATTAATGGATAAGATTATAAATTTATTGTAGAACAAATAATAAGACATTGTTGATGAAAGATTAATAATTGGTAAGTTAAGAAACTGTCTGTAAATTAAAAATGTCAAGATGTACAAATTAATAATTAAAAGCCAAGATTCAAAGAACTCATCAAAAACAGTCATATTATTTGTTCTACAATAAATTTATAATCTTATCCATTAATGAGTATGAATTGAAGTCTGAAGAGGACTCAATTAGAGAGTCGAAACTGGTCACTTAATGTTTAATTAGTTTTAAGTCAAATAATTGTTGTAAATTGCTTATTTATTGTAATGTATTTGGTTTTATTCCATAAGTGTTATCAGTTTTATTTAATTTATTTTGACTCTTACTTTGCCCTTACACTATGATTGATTATTGTTTATAATAAGAGTCCTTGACACAAATTTTAAATGTCATATTTTCATACTACGATACAATATTCTTTCCAGGGATACGTATGCCAAATGTTACATTATTTATACGGCTATAGAGTTTTAGGATTAGAAAGAGATAAAAAGAATATTAGCAGAGCTTTTACTAGACAGAAAAAACTGTATCCCGATTCTTTGACTAAAGTTAAATATACGCATTGCGACGTAACTTGTGATTCGGCCGACGCAATAGAATCTATTCTACAGCAAGAATTTCCCGACGTTACAGACATATGTTTAATTGGTCTGCATGCCTGTGGAGATCTCAGTACAAGCGCATCAAGAATCTTTTGCAAAATGAAATCTGCTAAACTTTTCATTCTAATTTCTTGTTGTTACCACAAACTTTCGATTTCCAAAAGTGTGCAGGAAAAACAATACTTCCAAAATTTTCCTACATCCAATTGTCTGCGAGAAACAATCGCGACATATAATTTTGACGTAGGACAGTTCTTAAGAATACCATTTCTGCGACTAGCGTGTCAAGAATCGGCAGACAAGTGGCATGGAATGTCCCAAGAGAAGCACGATGAACATTCCTTTTACGTTCTCGCTAGAGCTGTCCTCGAATTGTATTCACAACAAAGTAGGTATTTAATATCATGTAACGTACCTATATACATTCTATGGATTAATGGAAGATATATTCTAGATAATTACGTTCTTAATAAGAAAGTTCGGAAAGGTACGAGAAAGTCGCAATGTTCGAATATTCAAACTTACGTCAAAGACTCATTATTGAGATACGATTTAGTACCAAATACGGACAAAACAGGTAATTGATAAAACAGGTACTCATTAAGAATAATAAATTGCTAAAATTAATAAATCAGATAATAATGTATAATTAATACGAATCTTTCACGTATGAAGACGTAATTACACGTGAACAACTGGAAAAGGATATAACGCGAGTATGGGAGGAACAGAGTAGAAAATTGAAAGCTGTAGAAATCTACACCGGATTGCAAATGATGTTACAACTTCCGACGGAGTCATTTATTCTACAGGACCGATTATGCTGGTTGCATGAACAAGGCTTGAAGACTGTTATTGTGCCTGTGATGAACAAGTGTATTTCTCCTCGTTCATACGCGATCGTATCTCACAAATACTGAAAATTATTATAATTTAATGAATATTAAGTATTTAAAAAAGTATATAATTTATACTGAATTTAAAACCATGGAATTTTCTAATAAACTAATAATATTAAACTCGAAAATATATTTATAAAATATTTTTTTTTTATAAAAGATGTTAATCTTGATAACTGTATTACTTTCATTATGCCTTGTACTAAAATCATAGATTATACCGTGATCAAATTATATTAAAATTATTCTATATAAAAAATAGTTAAGAACGTACCGTGTTTGAAATATCAATCATTGTATAATACATCTTAAGTAATAGAGATGGTACAATATTTTTATCTATAAGGATGGATTTGTGATGCTGCTTTGATATTGGTTTTTATTGCACTTGGCGCCTTGTTCATTTGTCCCACTATAAAGTATTAATTTAAATTATTATGAACATATATAATTTTAAGAGAAAAATCGAAATTCTCAGAGAAATATTTACTCGGTGGATTACCCAGTGGTCCCTGTCCCGCCGTTTGCTGCTGAGTGCCAGGTCTGCCTACCATCATGCTGTTAGGTACTGGATTTACGCCGGATTGAACCATTTGTATCGAATCAGACTGTGAATGTGAAATAAGAATTACATCTAACAGATATATTAAGATAGCAATAACGTCCATACAATGGTTCTTTTAAAAAACTCAGGTAAACTTTGTCTTCTGATTGTAACTTACTTTCAAACCTTTACCCATCCCTACAGCAGCCAGAAGAGCATGAGTATCCGCAGTGCTGCTGGTTTGTGCTTGTGTCGCTCTGGTGCTAACTTCGCCCTCCCAATCTTCGCGCGCCTTATTTGCTATGTCCCATACATGACTAATCACCTTCGTATACTGCGCCAGTTGTTTCTGCAACCCAACAGAAGCATGCGAGAAACTTAATAAGCAGCAGCATCTGCGTGTTCCACTCGCTAAATGGACCGTTTAAAAATCTCTGCATAGCGAATGTTTATCTGAGACATCGAACATCTATGGCTATTTACGTAGCTACAAATAGGCTTGCATACATAACATTTCAGCCCAAAGCGAATGGAACCGACAAAGCTGAAGCTATCTGATTTAGCAGCTTACATTGTAGTCCTAGTTGTGGTTTAGTTAGCACGTTAACAGAAAAATAAGACATCTTCAGTTAGCTTCAATGTGTCTATCTTAATAGATATTACATATACTTAATTGTCATCAGATATATTCTTAAAAAGTTCTAATTTTATCGCAATTACATATCTGATATTTGAATATTTCCAATAATGAGTTTTGACTTGAGGGAGAATTTAATAATAAATTAAATAAGAAGTATTAAACGCGCGTAGAGAATATAGAATTGTGTCTTACGTGTGATGTGTCGATGTTAACGTTCGCGGCCTTGGCTTCTAACTGCATCATCTTCTGCTCGGCTTGGGGTTCCAGCTTTGTTCTTAAATAATCAGGGACTAGATCATGCGCAAATGTAGGGATTCGATTTTCTGTAAGTCGTAGCAATTCCTCGTCTTTCTCCGGACTCAAACGTAGTGGTAAAACCGTTAGACCCTTGAGGTTTAATGCTTTGTCGTGTCCAAGAACTTTTGAGAGGCTGGTCAACTGTACACGTTAAGCGTAATTTGAAGATAAAATGTATAGATTAGACATGCAAGATGCTATTCCATGATTAGAACTATTTGAAGCAACTCTATAATGTATATAACTTGTTATCAAATATTTAACAACGCATTTCATAAAACTTTCCGTGACTTTTGTTGTATATATAAATGATTGATCAAATTAGGAAATTGTAATATTTATAAAAAATATTATTAGAACAAATAATCCTGCTCTTTTAATAGTTTTCTTCGATTATGTATTAATTAATTTACTTTCCCTTTTTATCTTTTTATCAAAGATATAATATAGTATTTAGATAAAAATAGGTATACAGTAATATGTCAGTAGTTCTAGTGTTAATTAACTAAAGTAAAACAGGATACTTACATGACCTGAAATAAGAGCAAAATTGTCCAGGAAATTCGGCCAATTTAAGGTCTCGTATTCGTGTTCCACTTTGAATATCATTGCAGAGATTGCGTTCTTGAGATCGTTCACTCGCATTATTATGGCTTCTAAAGCCGAGTCCTGTTGTTTCTCTTCCCTTTGCATTGCGTAATTTCTATTAGCGACGGATATGCAAATTTCACTCTCTTTTATTCATCGCCGCAAAATCACGCAAATATGGAAATATATCATTTATCTAATTCACGCTCGTGACCTCGCACCTTACACAGTTCACATCTCACGTCTAATATTCCATCGCGACGTTCCAAGTTCCACTATCCTTTTTTCGAACTCGGAGCTTCGGGTTTCGGCTACCGGAATCTAGTTGCATACCTAATACATTTCGAATCTAACCTATACTGGATTCAAACTACCCACTAATCCCACTCGAATGTGGGAAAGCAACTAACAAGATATTTTCATTGAACTACAAAAATGGTAAATTGCTGATAACGAAACTGTAAATTTTTAATTTTTTTCCGTTTTTCGTATTGAAATGTAGCTAGTACCCTCCGTTTTTGTCGATTCTTTAGTTATGCAGAAGGATTTTTCCATCCGTAAATACAATTAAGAGAAACGAATCTTTAACTAACAATAAGTAATGATAATACAGGACACTTCAGCATCGCCTTACGTCCACTTTCGACGATCAGGCGGCGGGTCACGAAAATGGATGTGGTCGTAGTTCCCGCAGCTCGAAAATGGACTTTGGTGCCGCTAGCGTACGGGGAGTTAGAAGCATTACAAGAAAAAGGCCTCCATGGCCGCTCTCATATTGAAATTATAGGGAATTTAAAAAATAAAGTATAATTTTTATGTCACTGACACTTTTTAAAAAATGAAGTAGGTATGTTTGATACTTTTGATATTTGACCAAAATAAAAAAAGGTTTAATGGTAAGAATAAAAAACAAGACCTATACTCTCTCTTAAAAGTAAAAAAATATCACGAGACTAGCTAACATGACAATCCTTGAGTCTGTTTTCCTTTTTCAGCGTTTTACTTTTCGTCTCTTCTCTTTTTTTCTCCAACATCCAATCATACGTCTATTTCACTTTAAGTGCGTAAAGGCGTGTGATGCGTCATTTACAATATGCAAAATAAGTTGATGTAAAAAGAGCAAGAAATTGACCAATCACAGTTGAATGTGAGAAAAATAATCGACTGTGATCGGTCGATTGCTTTTAAGTTCTTATACCAAACATACTCCACATGACAAAGCGCATCTACGAGAAACAAAGAGCTTGTCATCGTGGGTCAGCTGTTCGCCAGCTGACCGCCGCGTACACGTGATCGCTCGGGATTACTTGCGAAAATTATTAATCATTATTTAATTACAATTTATTTTCGCGCGAGACGACTTCGATGCGCAACGTAATGAAGTCTTTCCGCGATGTCCTCGCAAATGCCAGTAATATCCTGATCCTCACCGGCAGCGGAATCTCCGCAGAGTCCGGCGTACCGACCTTTCGGGGTGCCGGTGGTTTTTGGCGTAAATACCAAGCGCCAAGTCTCGCAACGCCGGAGGCCTTCGCGGCGAATCCTTCACTAGTCTGGGAGTTCTACGAGTATCGCAGGCAGCTAGCGAGTAAGGTTAAGCCAAATAAGGTAATTTAAAGTATAAAAGTATCAAAGAAACAAATATCACTATTACAAAAAGCTTTCCTTTCATCATAATATTTACATTTACTTTTAATGAGTTTTATAAGTCAGAAGCAAATGTATTATTCTTGTCCTTTCTAATTCCTAGGCACACGAAGCCGTAGCAGATTTTCAGAAGCGCAAGATAGCGGAGGGTAAAAGGGTGTCGATTGTCACGCAAAATATAGATGATCTGCATCAAAAAGCTGGGGCGACGGATGTACTGGAACTGCATGGCTCACTTTACAGAACACGCTGTACTAAATGCCAAAACGTTGCAATTAACGAGAACATTCCCATCTGCCCGGCGCTAGCAGGAAAAGGGTACGCATAAATTCTGTAATATAATCACAAATTATATAATGCTAGACAAAATCATCTTGTCGATCTGATGATAATGTATCTAAGCAGATCTCCTGATCCGAACATCATGTCTTCTGATATTCCAACAGAAGAATTACCACGTTGTGAAATCAAAGATTGTGGAGCATTGCTGCGACCTGACATTATATGGTTCGGAGAACAATTGGATGCAGATGTGCTGGAGAAAGCTCGTGTGTAATTTTATTTAACAAAAACGTAACTGTTCATTCAAAATATGATAAAATAACATACTACTCGTGTAAAATATTGTATAAAATGAGTGAAAGAAATCGGAGTCCGATTAAAAAGCGATTGTGTCTAAAGTACATAACATAAAAAAACTAAAATATAATTTACTAACGTTTTTAAACTGCAGATGACATTGTGGAAACATGTGACGCTTGCCTGGTTATTGGAACCTCGGCGATCGTATATCCAGCTGCTATGTTTGCACCACATGTAGCACAACGTAATATACCGGTCGCAGAGTTCAATATAGAAGAAACGCCAGCCACAAAACAATTGCAGTAAGTACAAAAACTCCTTTGTCTCAGTAAAAAAATTTCTTTTAATCATCATTTAATATATTCGCCGAAATAACTAAAATTTTTATAATTTTAAAATAAAAAATCTATAGAGACATATATAGATATCGCAATATTTTAACAATATAAAAATAGTAATTCTTTTTTATACATGCATAAAATATATCTCTGTAATCATTTGTGGAAAAAGTTATATCACAGTTTCCTCATGCTTCCGTTTATATCCTTGAGAATAACTCGCTTTTGACTGTAACAAAAAAATGTGTTATGTTGAATATTAGATCTGTTTTTTTGTTTTTCATTCTTATGCACTAGACTAGATCTCTTTTTCTTACTTTCACTAAATATCAAATATATTTCACTTTAAATCCAAACCTATTTTACTTTAAGTTCCAAATGTGTACATTAATTCACAGCTACAGAAAATAGATTGAATTAAATCATAAGCCAATAATTTTTTTAAAAAGCGAATTATTTTACAGATATCACTTCCAAGGTCCCTGTTCTATTACTGTGACAGAAGCACTGGCGCCTTAAAAAGGTTGATATATATTATAAAATAATTAAGTTTTTTTTATAGTATAAAATATGATTACCTTACAGTAGCACACTTCTGTTTTCAATTCAAGTTGATTTAAGTAATCCAACCATAATGTTTGTTTAGTTGACAGTGAATCTTTCGGACCTTTCACTTCTACGATTTTATACTAAAAAATATATTAGGTTATAATTGTATAAAACTTATGTTCGATAGAATATAAGACATTATTAAGATCTATTCCATATAAACTTTTAAAATTGTACATAGAAAAAAAAAAGATTGACTTACCTGTTTTGTATTTATATTCCATACAATTAAATCTGGAAACCCAGCTTTCCAGAGTGAGTAGTTATGAATGAGTCGTTCGCATATTCCAATAACACCTTTTACTCCTAAGCAAAAAACTACTTCCTGAAAACAAGTGCGATATTTATAATTCGTGCTTTATTAAAATTTATTAATTAGCTGGTAGTATTTATCAATTATCTGGTAAGTATTATTACTTACCTTGAAGCTGTTACTGTCATCAAAAATATTGGCCTGAGAAATAGATCTGTATTTAGAATGTAACTCGAATTCATCCTGTAAATGCTTGCTTAATGTTTCTGAATCGTAACTTAGAATATCTTGAATCTTCTTGTCAATTTCTTTTTTCCTATTCTCGTAAAATTCTGACGTATACAAATCCAACGGCGCATCCTGATACAACGACACCCAAGCACCGGGAACGTTTATGTTATAAATTTCATTCCAAAATAATGTTGCGAACAGGGTGATTGGAAAGGCACCTTCACAATGCACGCCTTTGATATATCCCTCGCTTTTGTAGTGATATAACGCTAGACTTTCAACCGAACCATATACTTGGTTTATTCCCTTGCTGATACACCAACTGCTCTTTATCTGTGAAGTATTCCTAGAAAGATATATACATATCTTAATCTCTATTTAAATGTAGTTTAGTCTTTATTCAAGATTTAATTTATAACTTACTTGCATAATATTCCTTCTATCGTCTTGGAATTCTGAAATGTAAGTTGTATTTTGCTAAATTCATTAATCAACATTTTAACAGCATCTTTTATCCTTTTGTCAATGCCAGATTTTCTTCTATCAATTTTTTTTGCTCTTTCTAACAAGTCTAATTTATCAACTTCAGTCAGGTTCTGATATAACACTGCTTCTGATAAGAATAAGAAACTAGCTTCAAAATTTTTCCTATGAAACATCTCTATCTTGATCAATTCACTGTACCACTGGCCTTTTCTATGTTTCATATGACAATTCTGCTCTATTAACATTCGCAAAAATGTCAGCGCCTGTAGTAGCGTTTCTTTGGACTTTTTAAATGTATCGATGCTTTTCGACAAGACTTTGAGCCATATGTAACCTGGCATAAAATGCCTGATGTGATGAGGCAGACTAGAATCTTGAAAACTACAAATGGCAGTATAAAACAAATTTACTTTATAATGATCTTCTTTTAAATAAATATATTCTGTTAATTACATTTTCCTTACCTTTCCGACTCTAAGAAGAGCGGCAAACGTTGTGCAGCTAAATTTCCAATATTTTTTACGGTATCCCATTGTTTTTTCTCGATTGCCGTCAATACATTACTTAACGTATTTTTAGCCTCAATATAACTGTAAAGTACAAAATTCAAATTAAAATAAGATTCAAAAGTGATAAAAGGTATAATGGATCATAAAATAAAAAAATAATTATACTTTAGCAAATGTTTTTTGCTGACAAAGATAGGCAGGTCACTTTTGGCTACATCTGGAAACTTTGTATCACCAGCCTCAACGCTCCACAACATTCGAAATACATCCACCAACGTCTCGGTAGGATCTCGATTAGGTATCAGCAAAGTAATTATTCTATCAACCAATTCTTTTACTTTGTCGTTTAATAATATGCAATTCCCCAAAAGCTTGTTGACCGACGCGCGTAGTTTCGTTTCAGGAGTCACCATTCCAGGAAACAATGGTTTTGTTTTGCAGAATGTCAGAATCGATTGAATACTCAACTTTTTTCCAGAAACTTTGATCTTTGATTCCCGACAAATCCTGCGAAGTTCATCGGCTTGCAACAAGTTCAGTAAAACAGATACCTCTTCTTCATCAATGTTATTTTTAAACATAGATCGTGATACAAGCTCATCAAAGATGGGTTTCAAATCATTTGATATCTCATCGTATTTAATATTGTTTATCCTGTGCCACATGTGCTTCCTTTTCAGCATACGTATCAGTAACGCTTGTGCACTTTTTTGAAGAGTAATCATCGAAAATATAAAATCCAACTCGTCCTGATCGAAATATCCGCAATTGACTGGATTAGACAATACGGTAACAACAGCTAAGAAGAAATGCAGCGAATTCTTATCCGTAGGTACAACTACATCGTTAATTTCGTATTTTGTCGAAACTGTAGTGTCTATGGGATTGTATTTATAGTTAAATCTCTTACTCGAGTAAACCTTTTCCAGATCAATGTTATTGTTAGCAATGGCTCCTTCTTTGGCTAAATTTAGATTATTTATTGTTGCGGATATCAGTTCCTCAATTCTATCATCGAACAATTTCTTTCGCGCTCTCATCATGGATGACGACTTGTCTAGCGCATTTTTTATTGGAGTCGATTTCTTTGGCGTAAATTGTGTACCACTGCGTGATACAGCACATTGTTGACTTTCAATATATACTACATGAGAAGTATATTTAATAGTTGGCGACATTTTATTTTCTGTAATTTTAGTTGGACTATTCTCGATTCTATCATCAAATGATTTAGCTGGACTGTACTTGGCTTCATCTATGAATAGTTTCCTGCGCGGTATCTTTGCAGGTGGTGATTCATCTATCATGTTTTTTATTGGAGATGATGTTTTTGAAGTAAATGTAGTAGACTTGCGGTTTCTACTGCTGCATGGTACAGTACGTTGTTGACTTCCAATATATATTATATCAGGAGAAGAAGAACGTTTAGTGGTTGGTGACATTACTGTCATATTTTCTATAATTATAATTGGACTGTTATTCATATTATTTCCAAGAGGAGATGCCCTGTTGTCTAACGAGACATTATCATGCTTTCTATTTTGTTTATTTATTTTATATGAACTTTGATTGTTGTTCTTATGTACAAGAGTTCTTGAATTGTCTGATACTAGTTTACCTTCCTGCATAAGACAAAAAAATTCATTATATTATTAATATCAGACTCAAATTGTTACCATGTTCATTAGACAGTTAATGACAATTGTAACTTACCATTCTACCAATAACTGAACTTCTAGATCTCTTATTAGGCAACTTTTTGATGTTGCCGTTTACACTTTTAGAATTTTTGTTGCCAGTTGTAACTTTATAGAACTGATCTATTCTGGTTTGTGCCATTATTATAGGAAATATGTTCAGCTTAAGTCAAATTATATTTATGGTATTCTGACAAATTAGTGTAATAATACTGTATAACGTCATACTAATGCATCACTGGAATAAACAAAAGGGACCCAAGTGCAGACACGATTGTAATCACATCCTTGGACACCTGGAGGAACGAACGGAGGATCACTTTTGCATCAACTATTTGCTCTCAATCCTTTTTTATTTCGTTCGTACATTATCCTATCCTTAAAAGTAAAACTTAGTTTAAACCATAGCATATCGACCAAGAAAATTACAGTATTTACACCATACAAATCACCGGCGGATACAAGTGTGTCGTTTGTCTAAGCTATACAGATCCAGAATGTGGATCGTGTCGCGACGAAGCCTAAGTATCAATGGCGTTTTAATACTCTGTCTTGCAATTCTTCCCGAAGTTTAAACTACTGAAGGACGTCCGAGGGTGTGTAAAGCCTAGCGAAACGGTGAGTTTTATCATCCTTCTCGCTTTACCTTAAAGATAAAGGTCCAGAAGTCGCGCGTACGTACGCCGTAGGAAAGACTAAAGGGATTGCAAATCTGCGTCTCGAAGTCGAAAACACACCACTGTATAAAATTAATCACCAACTCGGCGAGCGGATATATCACGTTACCGTGATAACGTCAGATAGGGTTAGAATCACTCTTCCGCGCATGCGCAGACGTCGTGCGCATCTCGCCTGGCGGAAAATGAGCGCGGCAAATGTAATCTTCTGGTAAAAGCCCTACATTTTAATAACTTATTAACGTCACAGCAATGGTAATCCAACGTGATAATTCACGCCACTCGATACGTAAAAATATTATTTATAAATACGAGGCTATAAAATATTAGCTTGCAAAAACTCAGTGACCGAGTAAAGAACATTATAGTACAGTTGTAATTTAATGCGATGATTACGTCATTCGATACGTAAAGGCTGCGTTCCGTTATTCACTGCAAGTCTGAAAAGTTATAGTTCGTATAACAAAAATAAAACGTCAATTTAATGTTAAAAAAACGCACGTTTTAAGAAATCCCTCTTACAAGGAAAAATTATACATTCTACAATATTACTTAAATATGAAAAAAAAAATAGAATTTTGTGAGAACAGATTTGCTCTATATATCCAAATTTAACAGAAAAAAATTAAAGCATTAATCCTGAAGAGTTAGGTAAGCTTTAAAAAAAAAAAAAACAGAAAAGAAATATTGTTTAATAGCCAGCGTAATCGGAATTTATTTTGGCAGGTCCATTTTGTTCGGATTTTGTCGTCTGTTATATCAAATGTAATTTTCTCAAAACGTAAGAACGACGCTATCTATTTTTCTCTTGTTCAACAAATATAAAGAAACGGGATTCGTGACACGCCTTTTAAAAGTGACGTCTTGTTGCCGCGTGACGAATGCAAATAAAACCCAATTTTATACATTCGTATCATTTTGCATTCGGCTCGCCGAGTTGCTCATAGATATTGTATACAGCAAGTTGCGCCTTAACGCGTAGCATTCTTCTTTCTCTCTCTCATTTTATATATTTTTATCTTTATATATATATATATATATATGCATACATAAATTTATATACACATATATATGTATATGTATTTATGTATGTCGTGTTTGCATGTACAGAGCCCACGAAATGCGCTATGTGTATACGTACATATGTATACGAATATGTACAAGTCATTCAGTATGCATCCGCCGATTTCGTTCTTCTCCCTCCCCCTCGAAGTTACACGCTAGTTAGAATATATTTAATAGCCAAAAAATGCAACCCGTAAATTGACTTATAATATATATATATATATACACACATATACACACACACACACACACACACACACACACACACACACACACACACACACACACACACACACACAACACACACTCAATTATATCCGCTACCTCGCGCGCGCTGTTAATCGCAATGATTACGAGTAATTAATACTTAGGTCTCTATACATAAATTGCGGGAAAATGCCGACTCGTCCACCTGATAACACCTCTCTATTCTCTATCGTATCAACAATAAAGATCGAGATAATATTTGTCGTCTTTGAACGAAAGGTTGCAACTGAAAGCTTGAAAAAATAAAATATACGGTTAAATTACAATAATATGCGTAATAATTTCATATAATTTAAATAATATGCGTAATAATTTTATATAATTTACATAATAGTAATATATGTGTAAAATAATTCATGGGTACAGTATCACGGCTATCTCAATAAATAAGACGTTACGTAGCATCGAGGGGTGTTAACAGGTGACGGACTTGATGAGACGACGTGTTGTGTCGAGGAACAGGTCGAAGGGCCGTCCGGAGTCAATGTTCTACGGGATGTCCTGTAAGTCCAGCTTTGTAGGGCATTATGCGTTTCATTTCTTGCATAAACTTTGTAATGAAAATGACAGACATATTTTGAGCAGGTTATATAGAGCTATTGTAAAAGCTTTTTTGTCTTATCCTTTTTAATTTTTTTCCTACAATGCTGGATTCGTGCAACATATCCTGTATGTACACATCCCGCGTATGTACGCGATCGTATATAGAACTCCCAGTGTCTCCTCTTTCAGCTCCCGACTGTTTCAGTCCTCCGACTGTACAATTGTTCTTGTCAATTAAGAGATTACTTGCGCCCAAAGTCTCGCGTTCAAATTGAAGCTTTGGCTGAAGCGTCGTCTCTGTCCTTTTTCTCTTCTTTCATTTATTTGTTTCTTTCCTTTTCGTCCCGATCGAACCTTCCTGCGTCGCACAGCGACGCGGAAGCCCTACACTGTATTCACAGAATAAAATACATGTATATAAGTAGGTACACATCGTGCCTCGACGCATCGGTTGATATTAAATCGTAAATCTGTTTAACACGCAGAAATAGTGTCGTGGAGCCTTCTCGTTTAGGTAGATCTATTTACCAGTTTTAAGCTCGATCATCTCTCCTCCTGATAATCTCCTTCCCTACGCATAAACGAGCCGGCTTATCCTTTCGTCACCTTCATCTCATCTCGACCATCAACTCGAAATATTTGCATTGATCGGTCTTAACTTCTACTTATATGATACACTATTGTTTCTCGCGAATGCAACGAATTAGGTAAACACGAAGTCTCACCGTTCGAGATACGACCGACCTCTCTATTTTGCTTCTTCTCTTATTTTCTTTCGGTCAATCAATTTTTCGGAACGTCTCTCAACGCGCAGCTGTCGGTCGTAGCCGCAGTGGAATTTCGTGTTTGCCAAACCAGAGAAATGTAAAGCGAACTCAGTCTTTGGTTGGAGCGATCCTCAAATCTCGATTCTCGACGTTTTATTTAACTTTAATGGCTATCGGATTACCTTTAACATTAATAAATTTTATATAAAAATTCATATACATCCGCTATACGTTGTTCTTAAAGCATTCCAACTAAAATAAACGGATTCTTCTCTTTACAGATACATTTTCGAATCTTTGTTTATCTTTTCCTCCTTTTCATTCGCATAAAGTCGCTCGTTCTTCTCAAAATCATTTGGCGGAAGAGTTATCGCTTCTTTCGTTTTCAAGGCGTCGCTAGAAATCTCTTTAGCAGCATATACATATATATATATATATATATATACACATATATATGTATACACACGCTGGCGTTTCTGTTTGTGTATGTGTACGTGTACGTGTTCACGGTAACGTTTATAAAAGCTAGATACTATGAATACACAAGAGCAAACAAGGTTGAGAGAACGGAGGAATTTCGGTTTCACGCTCAACAGTGAATCTGAGAAAAACGAGAGAAAGTTTCTATTTCTAATATTAAAGACTATATACAAACACGTGTCAGAAAACGGATCTCACAAAAAAATAACACGTCCCGACAATATATAGGCGAAAGTGTGAAGATCTTAACAAAATAATAAGTTCTATCCAGGATAAAATTTCTTTATTACTCCTCCTTTCTAAAATCGTCTTGAAATTCATAAATTTTCATACACATTTCGCTGTGCGTCTACCACAACAACGTTTCTTTTTTTTTAATTACAGTTATTCAGTTAATTAATTACCTAAAAGTAAGAGATACAATAAGCGTAATTATTTTTATATATACAATATATCTGATTTTTTTATTTTATTTTATTACGATTTCGAAAAGTTTTCCTACGATTTTTGTAATCACTCGCACCATAGTCTTACTCCCCCTTATTCTCGCATTACAACTGGCGACGTTTTATGGCTCGCTACCGCGAGAGATTCCTTTGAGACCAGGCGTTCACAGATCAGAAATCAAAAATTCTTTGTTTACACCGGCAATTATACTCAATGATCAGTATTTGCATATTTTAACTTGCAACAAATAACAATCAATTGTTGCGTAATCTCAAATTCATCATTCATTCTTGTACGCGGTTATTCTGTTTGCAATAACAAGAAAAGTACAACTATCAGTATGTCAAAGAATAATATGAGAGTCGAGTGTGATTACAAAGGGTACAAAAGTGATCTGTTTCTCTGCAAGGCACTCCGACCATACAATCGTTCTGATCTGTCTCTCTCTCTCTCTCTCTCTCCCCCCTTTCCTCCCCCCTCTCTCTTTCTCTCTCTCTCTCAGTATAACCCGAAAATATATTGTTAATTTGGAAAAGTTTAGATCACCGTGCGTGTTTATGAAAATAAAGTATACAGATCATGAGTTCGATCACAAAGATAATCTCTCGTTTCTTCTATACGTTTTTTAATATTTTTACATTTTCACATTTTGCAATTTGATGAAGAAGACAGAAAAGCAAATGGTGTCTTATAGAAAGACTAAGAGAGGAAGAGAGCTGTTATACATGTTATCTATATGTGGAAAACCCAGGAGATACTATGTTTTTTTTTTTCACGGTAATGAATTAAATACCGAGTTAGCGAAAACGTACACGTTTTATCTAGAGGAAGTTTGTGTCGATTAAATGTACGAGTACGATGAGATATTTGCTCGAGTAAACTGTAGATACATTCAAGATAATTTGTTTAGTTGTATCAACAGACTCTACCTCTCGAACTTTGAGGCGAATTACATGTACATCAGTGAAGGGAACGAATGCCACTCATGTATAATTTGATGACGTTGCTTTCTTGGAGGATAACGTTGAGATACCTGTCCAAACAGAGATTTAATGGCACGCCCGAATTTTATTAGCATGCTCGAATCTCTCAATATGCCTATAAGACGTGGCAAGATTCACACGGGTTTGAATTCCGACATTCGTATCCGTATTTGTATTCGAGAGCCATAAGAATTCTATTCTACAAATAAGAACACGTATCGAACTGCTTTTTGACGTTTACGTTTATCTACGGTACGGTAGAATACCTGTGAGAGGACAGATAAAAGTGTGATATGAGGTGCAGTATCGTAATAGCTTGCTTCGATCTTATCTCGTTAAATTCATTTATACGGGAGAGATAAAAAAAGTCACGAAATAAATTCGCGTGTAGAAGAACACATGTACAGTTAATGAATCTGCCTTTAGAAACAATGAAATTTAACCGCTTGTATATTTACTTTGCCAAACACCGTAGCTCGAAGTATTTCCCTACATCGATAGTGGTAATTTCAGTCACTGATGTGAAAGACATAAGTATTCTTATACATTGCCCCCAGTAAGCTTTGTAGATTCTAACACAGTATATAATGATCTTTTCGCGTAAACACAAATCCAGTGATACAAGCTTTCCAAACGCAACATTATATAGTTACATTACATTATAATTGTATATCGGTCGCGTGACAGATATACAGATATCAAAATGTACAGTTTAGCGATTATTGGAGAGAAAGAGGGGGGGAAAAAAAGAAAATCGATTTTACGATTACAATGACTTAATGCTATCAAAGATTAATTGATAACAATAGCTTCAATATTTCACAGCCTGGAAGCCTTTAACGTAGTATTATATATATATATATGTGTATATATATAATATATATATGTATATAAGGAGCATTACTATATAAAGTCGTACAATACTCGCGAACCGAATCTATATACAGTATTGAGAAAAATCGTACATTTTCATAAGAAATTAATTAATCTACTTTCTTGTAGTGTTATTTATCTGGAAAGCGACGAGATGTATTTCGAGCATAATCTATTGTATTTATAAGCAGATTACTATACAATCTCCACCACTGTTAATGTAATGCTTTGTATCTATTTTCCATACACTGTTGCGAATGAAACTTACAGGAAACTTACAGGAAACTTACAGGAAACTATCCGAAATCTTTTCCAAAACAACGATCTGATTTTATTTAATTTTAGGATAAATAAAACAATTCTTAATAATCGGACCATATGTCCATGTAAAGCTTTTATATTCTCGAGTGTCTATTTTGAAAACGAATAGATGTTGAGATATAGAAAACTAAAAGAATTTTTCGTGGAATTTTTATAATTCAATAATCAATGCTGTGTCTGAGAAAGCTTGTTGCATTATTGTACACCCAATTATTGTATAATTTAACGATATCAATCTGATAAATGAAAAATTTTTAAGTTAAGATAAACATAATTGCATTTCCGATTTTCGGTTACAATTTTCCTTGCATTGAACGAACGAGATTGTTGCAAACTATTGTCGCTAAAAATAATAAAGAAGTATTGCACGCTATATTTCGACTTAATGATATACACCATCTCTTTTTTACTTTTTTTTTTTTACAGTTAAGCTATTCGTATAGTTAGAACCCAATTTGTTCTTAGGCTATATCTCATTTTTTATTCTTAAAGACAAAGAAAAAAACGAGTACTTATTATTAAAAACGTTAGTGCTAATTTCAGCTAATCGGATAGAGTAGTTTCTTTCGAAATCTTGTATCTACAGAAACAATGGCAATATTTTTCACATGGCTATTGAGTGTATTTAGCGGTAAATTGCTATTGATCGTTCAATGAGCAAGGAAAAAAATAATTTAAAGAATATGGAGCACGATCCCTCCGACGGAGAGAAGAGAAAGAAATTTGGTACTTGCATTAGAATCCACGCATTCGCTGATTAGTGTCGCCAAGATAAAACAACTGATTGGAGGAGCAATTGTATCTAGCCGTATCGCTATTCACGTCAACATAGCGCAATATATCATCACGCATCCGACCTCCCGCCCGAAGCAGACATCATAGGCAAGGTAAGAGAGTTAGCGAAGCCCCCAGTGACGTATTGGCGGCAACAGGGGTGCCGATAGCAGGCATCATGTCACTTCCATCGCCAGTGAATTTGTTTTGTTCGCCCGTACAAGCTGCTGCTGCTGCTGCTGCTGCGGCTTGCTATCGCATGGCGAACTGTCCACTCCATCCACTTCCATATCCAAATTTTCACTAAAATCAAACGAATAATAAATTAGAACAATGGTAAAGTTTAGAACAGTGTTTAATTAAATTTTATATAAGATCATGCCATCGCGTTCCAGTTATTGAATTCATCATCACGATGCTCCTGCTAGATCCTGGTATTTCAAGCGTTCGCGAAAGAAGATTCTTTATCTTTTTTTTTTTCTAATTATGTAAGATTTCTAATTATAAGCGTAATGAATTACCTATTACTATTAAGCGTAATTTCCCCGGACGTTGGGACCTGTGGCGCCTGATTTTGCGTCTGCTGTTGTTGCTTCCTCGCAAGGGTCGCCAATTTACTTTGCGTTATGAGGCCGGGTAACAGATTGGACGGCGGATGCTTCTGTGGCATAACTAACGTGGACTGTTGGTTGTTCACAACGTGAGTGCTGTTCGTCAGATTATTAGAGTTGTTTATGTGCGGCAGCGGACCGTTCTGGTGGCTATTGCCAAAGTTTGTGACGTTACTACCGTTACCGCTACTACTACTACTGCTACCGCCACTGCTGCCGCTGTACGTGGTACTTGCACTAAACACTCTAACATTTGCACTACTACTGCCACTACCACCACCACCACCACCACCGCAGCTACTACCATTCCTATTATTTGTCGGACTAGTCAAGGATTTCGAGAGAATGGAGGCAGCGGCACTATTGTTCGGCAATTGTCTGTGTTGCTGCTTGGATTGATGATTCGATTGTGTATCGACCGCGGCACTGACACCGACAGTGCACTGCGTGGACATTGTACTTGATGCCACAATAGCTTGATTTGTCGTACAGGCGACGACGGAGGACAAGGTAGGAATCAACGAAGAACTCGTAGAAGTATGTACAACACTAGAACCACCACTACATTGGATAAGCCGGGTATGTTGTGTCATAGTGAGCGGCGCAAACAGATTATTCACGAGCGGTGTCACTACAAAATGTGAACTGCCCAGCTCGCCGTCTGTCCGTGATTCGTTCACGCTGCTGTCTGAGAGACCACTAATGCACGCACTACTCGTATTAGCGAGACCCGTCTCTGCGAGATCCGTGTCCGACATGGTGTCCATCACGAAGTAATCCGCAATATTGAACTCCGATGTAAATGGCGATTCGTCACCCGCGCGTTCCGGCTCCACCTCGATGCATATGGACGTCGCGTCAGGTGGGAACGGGTATGGAAGCTTGGATCGAGACACTGTTGGCTCAACGTCTGAGTCCGTGTCATCAGTACTTTCCTCGCTTGGACTATGCACCGACACAGGCGGAGTCTTTGGTCGAAAATGTAACCTGCCCCAGACAGAAATACAATTGTATAAAAGTTACTCTTCTTTCATTGACTAGTATAAATAATATTAAATATTCTTTAATTATAATTGTAATATAATAATAAGTACAATGGTGAGATATAAAGCCAATGATATAAACGTTTCAACCCTGTATGCTTTGGGTCATCCTCAGTGTAATAAAAATTCAATAATTCTTTCTTTAAATATTGGACCTCCAAATGTCATGAAAATTGTGTAATAAAAAGTTTTGTTAAATTTAGTGAAAATTAAGTAACATAACATTCAATAAGACTTACGCGACCAACATTTAAGGAAATTTCTTGATTAAAATTAAGTATTGAATGTTATGTTACTTAATTTTCACTAAATTTAACGAAATCACAATTTTCACAATTTTCATCAATAGAATTTCACACATAAGTTTAAACACGGTTTTTTACAGATATATTTTACTAAATGACAGTTTGTGTATCTGGTTAAATATTCACAAAAGTGACATTTGGAGCTTCAACATTTAAAGAAAGAATTATTGAATTTTTATTATACTGAGGATGACCCAAAGCATACAGGGTTGAAACGTTTATATCACAATTTTATGGAAATAAAATATATCAAGATACACTCGTTCAACCTGTGTCGGCTCTCATTGACTTTGTATCTCACCATTGTATCTGATCTTCGGAGCCTTATTCAAAAATAGAAATAATAATAAATATTAAAAAGCATACCACTCTTGTTTGACAGTAGTCATTGCTGTGGCAGTTGCATTCGAATCTGTTGTTTCGCGATTGGAATCATGTATCGTGAAATCTAAAGTAGACCACATATCATCCATATCGGCCGAACAACGGTCTAATATCACTCTGTAAATCATCAAGAAAATAAACAGTCAAATAAATGTCACTGTATCTCACAAAACATTTATCAGGTCGAGAGATATCATACCTGCCACCACGACCAATTCTCCGTCGTGCAAAACCAATACACCTTGGCACTGGTTTGCTAATGCTAGTTAGCGCAAACCTGTACTTTTTATCAGCAATACCGCCTTCGTTTTTATCACACCAAGGCCAATTTCCAAAACCACCTGATACAGGCTGTACAAAGAGAAAAGTTTTAGAATCCTAAGAAATAATTGGTTATTTCTATCTTAATGACCTATCTAGTTGCACTAACGCTTATGGAAAAAAATTGTAGACTTAAATCGTAGACAATATCAATATTGATTCATCAATTTCAATCTGATAATGATCACAGTAATTAATCAACATAATTACTATACTTAGAGTGCGGTCCACTTGGCGCTACAAATGCTTCGAAACTTTTGATTGATCAATCGGAAAAAAGAATTGTATAATCAATCAAAAAATATTTTGAAGCATTTCTAGTACCAAGTGAATCGTAGTCTTATATTTATAAAAAAAATTAAAATATACACCAAAGTATTTCACTACCACTTTGATCAACAACAGGATTCTTTTGCTTAATTATTCTTATTAATTAACTAATTTTTACTTATAATTAATATCATTTCAATTAATGAACTAAATAGAATTATTTTGAGGAAAATAATTCTATTTAGTTATGAAACATATAGCAACTTACCGGTAAATAAGAGCTATTCCTATTTCGACGAAAGGCAAATTGACCTTCGTCTGTAGCGTCCTCGTCATCACGATCAGAAGGTAACGAAGGCTGGGAGTGCGAATGAGGGAGCGGGCTATCTTCATCTGAACTGATAAGCGGGTCCAGCCCGCTTCCGAGAACGCCTGGACGATTTCCTCGACCTCCACCACTACCCGTTCCGCTACGAATACCAGTGTCGTCCAAACTTCCTCCTCTGCTATCTGTTTTATGTTTCCGCTTTTTGTACTGTCTCTTTTCTTTCCTGGGCACTACTTCATCCTAAATTAAAAGAAAAATTATATTAAGAATCATTATATTATATAGCAGACATGAAAATATCGCTCCTTCGGAACATCCTAATAAATTATGTCAAAGATGAACAAACGCTTTCTTTAAAGCTGATACATACTTTACAAACTTTATTTGTCCAATTTTGATGAACGCCGAACTGATTAGTAAAGAGTGGAGCAAACGCAGGTCTCGGTGCCTTTAAGGCCGACACCTCTGACAATATTTGTCCACTGAAATCTTGCGCTTGATATCTAAAAAATCAGTAATTCCCTTTAACAAACACCGTAATGCATACAAAGGATGTCATCATGGTTTCTTACAAACCGTTTTTCGTAAATCTCGATTGTGAGATGCAGATGTTCTCGTTTCGTCTTTTCTCGGCGTTTCACCATTTCCAGAAGCGTGACCGCTCTACTAAGATCCCTACGAAGCTTCAACATTTTCTCATAGCTGGTTTCATCATTTTTACGATTCTTACGCGTTTGCATCTTCTCTGTACGTCGTCTGAATGCAAAATATGGATTGTTGGCAGCCGAGCCAAATCGATTCTCCGTTTTAACAGTTAACAGCAAAGGATGTTGCTGTGGAAAATATATAGTATTATTAACTCGCAATTTGGACAGCCGTTATTGAGACCCGATAATCTCGATGCGGCACAACTCGCTAGTTTGCGTAAAAAAGCATGGCAGTGTCTCACGCCATGTCTTAGCGCAGAGACACTATTGTGTCTCCAGCTAACCCATTCAAGAAATTAAGAAATAAAAAATTTTATTAGTTTTATGAAGAGAAATAGAGAGAAAATATGTAGGATAAAATATGTACATATTCTTATATTCCTATCTTTCTAATAAATATAATTTAAGCAATACATGCACATTAATATGACATAACCTAAAAGCATATTATAAAAATATGATGCTTACAGTTTTGAGACGTTTGTTGAGCCAATAATCAAACACTGCAATAATCAAATCATCATCTTCCTTCAAAAGTGCCTTGGCTTCATTGAGGGTAACTACCGTTTGTCCTGAACTCTTCTCCAGACGATCCATCATTTCCTCAAATTGGAGGGGAGTCAATTCCATCTTACGACTTTGTAGCGCAACCCATTTTTCATCTTCTGAATCCATATCGTAATCAGGTATGTCTTGTTCCATAGCAAAGGCTGTAAAAAGAAGCAAATTTATTAATTATTTACCAAGAATTAATACAAATTAAAAAAAAAAATAATAAAAACAATTTTAATATGTTCTTACGTTGCATATGTATTAACTGGCGAGGCAGCTTATAATCAGCAGGATATATCTTGTTATAAATCTCTGCATCTGCCAGATCAGTTACTTCAGGAGTAGGAATGATTAGACCTGTGCATATCGCTCTTTGAAGATGGTGTTCCTATATAATAAATAGAATTATTTAATAAAAATATTATATTCTCATCTAACACATAATCATTGCTATTACACATATGTAACTTTCAGAATATAATATATTTACAAAAAGGAAGAAAAATATTCAATATATTTAATAATAAGCTTAAATACCTTTAACAAAATAATCTTATTATGAGAGATTCATTTCAAACAAGTAGTTAAACATTTGAATATCATAATTGATGTAAGCATTGTCAAATTATGTATACAAATCAAAATAGAACTTATTTCATTGCTATATCAAATGACGTTTACTTATTCTCATCTTCAATGTAATGATACATTCTACCATAGCATATACTATATAAAAAATCATATTAGATTTAATCATTGATAAGCTATTATATTAAAACATATCAAAATGTAACAAAAGATTGAAAATTGATGAATATCTTGATTGAATGAGTGCTACACAACTGCAAATGTGTCTTCAAATTGTAAACAGTGTCTAACGCGACATGTCTAGTACAGAGTCAACAAATTGGAACAATTGGATATCTATTTTTTAGTTTTCCTGGAGAAAGACATTCTGGCGTATCGTCATTTCCAAGTTGGAGATTCTTGCACCTAGAAGGCATCGCGAGGACATTGTCCAAGCACGAGAAAGAGAAATGTTTGACATTTGGGATGTAAAGAGTCAGTGGAACATAGGACAGTATGAGAACTCGCGATTACTCGCGATTAACGGCGAAGGAGACATTGACATCTGTCGCAGGCAGTCAAATCAAGAGCAGAAGGATACGGGGATAACGGGCGAGAATTGCGAGTGAGCTGGTAATTGCGTTAAAAGTGGAAAATTGTCAATTTTCCAGGGTATACGACGACGGGTAAGTCGCCATCTGCCGGTTGTTTATGAAATTTTCCGCCGTGGGTAAGATGGCGGACGGGGAAAACATGCTGGAACGAGATGCTGGACGTTCCGACTTACGCATTCCTCCTCCTTTTCCATGCCGCTGGGCATTTGGGGCACCGCGCGGTTAATGGCCGAATAATCTGGCAGATCCGGCAGCTCCTCGGCCATGTAGATCGGCATGGGCTTGGAGGCGTCCAGGGCGCGCGCCCTGAACGACAGTTTGCTCATCCTGAGGGCGGCTGGCTCGCGCGTGTTGACAACCAAGGATGGCTGGCCGCACCGTAAGAGGCCAGTCGGGTCGGCTGGGGGGGCCTCGGGTTTCGCGGAACGCCGTGGACCTGGGCTATTGAGGCCTGGCTGGGGGCCCTGGGGGCCGAATTACCCGGCACAGAGAGCGCTCAGGGCCTCATCGTTCCCCGGCCATCGCGCTGGAGCACGGTCACTCAGTCACCAAACGAGATATATCACTTTGAAAACATGTTTGCGTGACACGGTCCCTGCTCAAAGCCATCATGGCCGACGCACAGCCATTTAACACACGTTCGGCCGCCGCCGTACAGTTCCGCAGGCCGACGTGCGCAGCGCGGGAATCGCCGTCGTTGTGACGCGGCCGACGCGCGGCCCGCGCACGCCTATTGGCCCACACACTCCCGCCGTAAGCCGAGTACACCCCGTGCACACCCTCTGCTCGTTCCACTCACTCGAACGTCGCTTCACTAAAAAAAACTATCGAAATCACAGATAACATACGTCCAAATGATATTATTTAACAAAATCCGTACTCTCTTGTGTCTTTATATTTGCGTCCATACAAATACAATCTCGAACACCTAATTCTGAAATAAGAATTTACAAATATAGCATACATTCTTTTGTCCAAAATAAAATAAAAAGAAATTGTTTTATTTATATTGTGTCATGATTATACTCAGGTGCCTCTCGTTATATATTCAATTATTGCGATTCAACAAGGAATGAACAATTTTTTATTATTACAAAGAGAAATGAGGCGTCCCATAGGCATGTCAGGAACTATTCTCGCGGCTTCTGCGCGTGCGTCGTCGCCAGTGCGGCGAGGACTTGAAAAGTTAGCTACGGACCGCCTTCAATCGCGCCAAATCCGAAACAAGAGATACTTCGCATTGCGAGATCCGTCCATTTCAATTGTGCTTTCTGTACTCAAAATAAAGTAGAACATGTTTATTTGAGGCTTCGAGGAAAGAAGTGTGAAAATTTTAGGAGAGGCAACGAGGGCGGTAAACTTGACGATGAAGTAAACCAATCTGTCGCGTTCATCGACGAAGCGCTTGAAATTATCCACGTGAAACGTCGCTGTCGAACGGCGCCAAATGCGCGACGGACGCGGTGATACGTCGTCACGTGTCACCGCCTCCGCTGATTGAAAAGGAAGGAGAACGGAAATTAAACGGAGTGGTCATTGCTGGTCGTTGCATGCTTGACTCACGTAGCCCGCCCATTGCGGAAATCGCACGGAATTCGAGACGACGAAGTTGGACGTGCAACATGACTCAGGCCGTCGCTGTCCTGTCCGCGATTCCTAGGTTATCTTACCACCTGCGCTCGCGGTTGCCGAATCTGCGCATTTCGGACGTATCACCAGGTAACGGTGCTTCGCACGCGCACGATGCGATGCAACCGCACCCCGGGACGCGGTCTCCGTGCTCGCCAATCGTCCCGCGTGCCGCCGATAACCCCCTCGCGACGAACACGTGTCGAATTCCCATTGCCACTGGCGCCGGCCTCCCGCCACTCCCGTAAGGGGGCGTGCGCGCACCGCGGCGGGAAAATTTGACACTACCAACCATGTTTCGCCGCGCGACTCAAACGAGATGGCAGGAATTAATTTTTTAAACATATATATGATATAGACGTCCTAAAGTTGATTTTACTAGAAATGCGTTTTAGATCTTATTAATTTAAGATTATCGTAATTTTTAAGCACATTATTTGCATCTCTTGTGCAAATATATTTTTCTTAAAATTTTTATATAAGTTTCAGAATTTTTGAATAATTTTATAATTTCATAGAAATTTCTCTTAGACTTTTTATATAAATTGAGACACCTTTCAAGTGTCAAGAAAGTCTAAATCTTTTCTAGAATTGTACATATGAATTCTAATATTCTGCGATTTCTAAAACTTTTATGACTTGTGAAATCTTATTATACAAAATTCGAAAAAATATAAGGTATTTTTTTCAATAATTGTAGAATAAAAAATGTTAAAATATTTCAGAGTTCATATATCGAAAATTTTAAGAAAACTTTTTCAGTATTTCTGAAAAGTGTTGCAATTTGTATAAAAAATTCTGAGAAAAAATTGCATTATGATACTCATGATAAAAAGATTTAACTTCAAAAAGACATATATCCTCATAGCCAAATTATTTTAATATTTCTTAAACACACAGGACAAGCTGATACTTTATCTAAACTTAATGCGGCAGAAATATTAGTAGCCGACTGTGATTTATTAATACCTTATGCAAACAATTTGACATCAGTCAAATGGATACAGGCGACTTGGGCTGGCTTGGATAAATTCATTCCACATGTGCGAAGCACGCGAAGAGATTATGTGTTGACTCGTTTCTCAGACGAGTCTTTTGGCCTAGCCATGTCCGAATATGTGATAGCGCAAATTGTCAACCATGAACGTGATCAGAAACAACAATATGAGAATCAAAAGCTTGCTGAATGGAAACAAGATGGCAAATTGGTGAATTATAGACTTATACGTGATTTAACCATAGGTATCTTAGGAGTAGGAACAATAGGAAAGTTGGGTAAGCTGCGAATAACAAAAGAATTAATTCACTCATTTGCATTACATATAGATTAGAGCATTCTAAAAACTGATATACAGGAAATTAGCAAAGTAAATGTAAAGACACATAAATATTTTAAAATAATTGAATGCCCAATAATATCATGTCACTTAACAGAATATATACATAAAAATAAGAAAAAAGGAGCATATATACCACACGTTGGATCGAAGTAGCGAAAATCTGGTTTATTTAATAATATTAAAAATTACATAATTATAAATAAACTATTTTTAGAATATATACATGTATTATTTCATTGTCACATTGATTATATTACAGTATTTAGATACTTTATAAGCAGTCTTTAATATATTAAATTCAGTGTAATGCGAGTGATGGAATTTATTATTAATCTTATATCCAATGTACAATTGATAAAATTTCAATAAAAATTTTTTTATCTTTTATATAATATTTAAATAGTCGCGGAGAAGCTAAAGCTATTTGGCGCAACTATCTGGGGAATGACGCGTACCGTTCCGAATGAGAAATTACCATATCTTGATGAACAGAGAACCGTAGATAGTTTGCTGGACATTCTGGAAAATTGCGATTACATCATTAATGTGTTACCATCAACTCAAAACACGATAGGACTTTTAAATGACAACGTCTTGGAACATTGCAAAGACAAAAATACAGTTTTTATTAACGTAGGTCGCGGATCCGTTATTAGAGAAGTAGACTTGATAAATGCTCTTGAGCAGAAGTGGATTTCAGCTGCTATTTTGGATGTATTTGAAAAAGAGCCGTTGCCAAAGGAGAGCAAATTATGGAACCTTCCACAAGTAATTGTTTTCATCAAATAAAAAATCTAAATTTTGGACTAGTAATACTATATTATCTGTTTATAGGTAACAATCTCACCACATAATTCAGCTGTAACAATGAGTCACGATGTTGCAAAGCTATTCGCCGCGAATTATGTTAGATATATAAACGGAGAAAGCATGATAAATGTATTTGATTTTAATAAAGGCTATTAAAAAAAAGGTTTGGATCTATACAGAGTTATATTGGGATGACAAAAAGTGTACACTCAATAAATATATATTGTTAAAATATACGTACAGATTTTGAAATAAACATGTTTTAGACATTTTGAGCTTTGTAATTATCTCTGATACTAAAGTCACATACAACTTAATCTTACACTTATATAATTTTTCAGAAATAAAATAAAATGCCTATCACTTTTTATACAGTTCTTTACTTACTTTCTTTACTTCTTTTCGATTAAAACTATCTCTTACATACATCTGTTATAACATAAAATTCGCAAAATAAATTATATAATTTATTTTCGATTGAATAAGCGAAATAAATTAGATAGATACGTCTAGATATACTGAAATATTAAATCTTAAGTAACAGTTTTTGACAAATATACATTTTAGGTGATACCGCCTACTTAATTCTTGTGGGGAATCACTCAGGACACTCTTCTTTACATAAATCTAAAAGATATTAAAATCGGTAAGGTGTCACCTAAAATGCATATTTATCTAGTTTTTAAATATAAAAAACGATTTATCTTAATACCTGAAATAATTTGATTATATTAGCAATTTTTATCGATTGCTAATACCATAATCTAAAGTATAAAAATCTAAATAAAGAATATATAAATGTTTCTGTATTATATATTATACATGAACACCATATATATCTCTCTTCACATGACATTGTACACATGGAGGTATATTATTATAAATTGAAATATATTAAAATATTATGGAAAGATACAGAAATCTATTCAGTAGGCGTCTCTTCAGTAGGCGTTTCTTCAGTAGGCCGAGGGGACGGTACTAAACCGCGGATGCACAAGTCATACACTACTTCTTCAATTTTTTTTACGTCATACTTGAGAGCATCAAAACGTTTTCTCAATATATCATTCTTTAAATTTAATAGCCGGAATCCCGCGTTCAGCTCATTAACAAATGTTGCAATTTCTATTGGCCAATAGTAATGACCATTCGTGACACTATTTACAGCAAAACGGCTCTAAAAGAAAACATGTAGTTATCAAACTAGTATGTGAAAAGATTACGGAAAATACATACCAATTCGGCAGATAACTGAAGCAGACCCAGTAAGAAATCTTCCAGATCTAAATGGAAGCCATCCTCTCTGTTATTTTTTACTGCAAAATAAATGAAAATTATTCTGAAATTATCAAAATTAAGTACAATATGTAAAAGCACATTTTCAAATTTTATTTAAAGGCACATAATAATTTAAATATTGAATATAATTATTTATGTACCTCCTAATATATCAGCAACAGTTTTCTTGTCGACTAAGAGTTTAATTTCGAAATATATTACTAGAGCAACTAGAAAGCACAGCCTTTGAGTGACAAAACGCCATTGGTCGTGGTAACGATAATACTGATTGCTTGGTACCACTTCAGCGAGACTCGCATATTGTATCCTTATGTCCCCAAATATTTCTCTTGCTTTTGAACAATATTTTGATACAACTGCAATTTACCAATAACAAGTAAATTACTATATCACATAATATAATGTGTTACATTAAGTAAATGTATTATATTGTATGTTTTATATATATATATATGTAAGAATTTTATCTCTAAAAACGTACTTATATTTTCCTCCATTGTGTGATGTACTGTATGAATATTTTGCAATGTCATCAGTATATCCCTAGAATTTTTCTCAATATTCTTCACAATGACACGGATTTGCTACAACAAAAAGAAAAATTTGATGAAATACTGAGAACATATCTCGATATATTCCAATTCATTTTTTAATAAAAGCTAAAAGCAATGTTGTTTGCTATTAATATTTTCTTATATTTGTTTGCTATGAAACCTGATGTACAATGTGCTCTTTGTATTTCATAACTTGATTTTATCTCCTATCTTTTTCCTTCCTTTGAACCATTCAATCAACCATCATGTTTCTAATCAGAAGTTTATTTTATCTTGGAAGATAGAAAACGAAGAGAAACATGATAAAAGACAAGAGATAAAAAGCAAAAATGAGGCTTAAAAAATATGGAAAACAATCTGGCCTTTAGCACAAGAAGAAAATTGATAACGTCTCTCAACATACTTTATAAATTCTTTGAAAGTAAAATGTCATTCTAAAGACTGAAAACTGAGCCAGTCTTGAAAAGAAAAATGACTTAATTTTCAATCTTTAATAGCGTTTTTCATTGATGGAACTGTAGTGTACACTCAATGCACTTTAAAGTCATTGTACACAAGTCAACATAAAAATGTATGTTTAATGAAAATTGAAACAAAGTAAACCGTAAAATCCACAATACGTTTTATTATGCAATTAAATAAAATATACATTGGCTATTTTATCAATGGAAATATATCACTTTTATACCCAGGTTAGAGTAGTGTACGACGGTTTGAATGTGCAGTAGATGTGCATCAATTCTACTAATGAAAAACGTAGTAATTCTTCAAAATGACAATTTATGTTGAGAATGGAGTAGTGTTAGAATACATGAGCTGTTAAATTTGAGAGACGTTTTTCGTAATTTTTCACAATTTAAACAAGACTGGAAAAGAAATAGGAAAACACGAAATTGCAGCGGCCAAACAATCTGTCTCACAACATAACCTAATCAAAACCTTGAACATGTCGACACACGCACCTCGCGTATTTCTTGCTCGTTGTTCAGGAAGTCTTGGAACGTAGTAAACATCTCCGTTATCGTAGAAGACATGGTGTCGTCCATTATTTCTGAAGAAAAGCTACTTTGGCTACTTTCACACAATATTGGATCGTATAGAAATGACGCACCGATCGATCTTGATGGTCTCGCAATCAATCTTGTCAAATGAACGTTGATAAATGTCGGCACTGTCGGCAGCAATTAGCATAGAGAGAGGAACTCTAAATTAGCAAACATTGACGCGACATCTATAACGCATATGCGTTATCGAGTACATTATAATTCTCTGGCTTGATCACAGATTGCGACACCGCTCGATGTTCGCGCGCCAAAATGCACCAAGTTACAATTAGATGGCGCTAGTTGGTCGATTGGTTGGTTCATCTTTTTACATTTGATAACAAAATTGAACAATGTGTAAAAAGATACGGAAAATTTATTAACAGACAAAAATTATTTCAAAAAATTTATATTCTATTTAAGAGGGAAAGTTTTTTTTTTAATTAAATGTATTCTTGTACCAATATTACGAAAATGACAAACATCAATAACATTAATTACAACAAACGAAAAATCGAATACTATCTCTTATTTTATCGTGCGCTATATATATTTATGTTATACAATTTTAATTATATATATGTATTTATATATTATATCATGTATACGTATTATTCAAAATATATGTAAATATAAGAGAATAACATATATTTCTTTGAGATAATTTATCACTTTATTTTTTATTTCTTGCTAAAGCTTATAATTATCTAAGTGTTAATATATTTCATCAGATTTATTATTAATTATATTATGCATGTAATTCTATAATTGCTGTGCACGTCGTTTATTTTCATATAATATACGTACAAAATAGTGTGCTTCAGTTTTAATTATTAATGCTTGTCATTTTCACGGTCAATAGTAATAAAATTCATCTTTATTTACATATATATTAAGACTGTAAATAAAGAGGACTATATATATCTGGTAGTTGAAAAATCTCTCATGAATGGAAGACACAAAACTTTCTGAAATCATCTCTGTCTATATTCGCAAGTGATATTTCTGTACTTATATGTATATTACTTAAATTTATTAAAATTTATCGAAAAATACGACAATTTTTATTTGCTTAAATTTGACTGTACATTTCGGCTAATGGCATAGAGCGTGGAGGGTCGAACATATGCTTGGGCGGTGGCGCGATGCAGCGAATTCGAGTCGAGCACGCATAGCGAGAGGCGGCATCGGTGAGCGAGCCGCGTCCGTTCGCAAGGTCTCGTGCTCGAGGTATATAAATAGAAACCAGTAGGTCCTGCTGCGCGCGCGAACTCAAGAAAGACGGCAGCGGCGGCGGCTTGGAATTCTGCATATAAGCCGCCCGCCGCGCAGCATCACGCACAGGTCGCGGAGTACGCATCCCTCCAATGGGGGAGAGAATTCGCGGGCGTGTCATTGATCCCGATACACACGCTGGCTTGGTTGAGCAACATCGGCGAAAGAGAGAGAGAGAGAGGAGGACGAGGGACTCGTTTTATGGAAAAATCCGCGCGCGCCCACGTTTACGGGCGCGATCGCTCGCTCGCTCGAGTTAACTCGGTGCGAGGAGTCGCGAGGTATCCATGGTCGACTCTCGGAAACGGAAAAACGCGACGTTTCCGTCTTCTTTTTACCGGACTGGATGCGGAAACTGCGGCGTATGTCATTCTCCCCGAGATCTCTCCGCGGAGAGAGAAATGTTTTTCGAAGAATCTCTTTTTCCCACGCGCCTCGCGAGCAGATTCTTGATGGAATCACACGATCGATTTTCATCATTCGCGATGCTTTTCCTCTTCCTTCTCGATCTTGACCTCTTTGCCGATATGTTTCGGTAACAATAGGCTTTTCTTTTTTAGCTGAACTTCTTGCATAGTTTATCTTCTCTCTTTTTTTATTTTACGTTGGAGACGAAAAAGAACCGGTTTCACCATCTGCGATTAGCTCGATTGACCGATTATTCCATTGGAACTGACCAATCATATTTGTCGTTAAGTACAGAGATAACCAGAATTGATCAATTACAGTTGATCTATAACTCAAAGAGAAAATACGAAATGCGCAAATAATAGTTTAACTAAAAAGAATAGACTGATGCCGTTTCACCCAGGATTAACTTTAATCCTGGTTTAACTTACTTTTTATCTTTTCTTAGTTTTAACAATTAGAAAAGGAAAAAGAAAATTAAACCGATATTAAAATTAATATACATTGATAGAAACGGACATAATTCTTACGCTTATTCCTATGCCAATATAGATTACTGTTAATCTCAGTTCAATTTACTCATCTTATTTTATCACTTAGAACTAGAAAAAATAAAGAGTTAGTTAAGCTGAGATTTAAAAAATTAAACTGCATTAATTGATAGGAACGGATATATTTTAGAACTGAGAAAGAAAAAAATGAGCATCGCAGTAAGTGAAACGAAACCCAAGTTAATCTACATTAGTGGAAACAAATATAAGGATATCCATATGTATATTGCATCTCAATGTAGATTAATTTTAATCTCGTCTCATACAGCACACTTCGTCCGAGGGACATCCTGGGAACGTTTTTAAAACATATAGAGATATCTTCTGGACGTCTGTTACAAAAGATGTGCTGTGAATGTATTGTATGGAAATTATTGGATACTTTTGGAGCCTCGTACTTAATGAAGATTGATACGCGAGATCCTGTTAAATTATATCGTGCTCTCGTTATGCGTGCGAGTCGCGTTTCTACCATCCGGGGTCCGATGAAGAAACGATGAAGAGAGGCACTCGGCCTTGCGGCGGCCTTCGCCGGCTGCGCGGACCTCCTCGCGCTATACTCCGTTCTCGATAACTTCGAGTGCGCGAAGATTTTTCGCGACTTATTCCGTCGCGTTCTGTCGATTAAAAAAAAAAAAGAAAAAAAGAAATCCCGATATCTCGCCTCCCGTTCTGAAAACCGGCGTTGAAAGACATTTTACGTAGCGCGATGTAATGGCGCCGATAACGATTCGTGAAAGCTCTTGCGGTATCTTTCCTCGTTATGTAAAGCGGTCAACAGCCCGCATACATATACAATGTATACGTACGCAAACGAAGCTCGTTATATACGGGAGGAGCAAGAGGAGGTGATGGCGGGAGGACCCCGTTAAACTTCGCATTCCTCTCCCCTCTCCGGTACACAAACAGGCATCAATCTCAATAAAGTATATCCTATACCGGCGCGGATCGTCGTAAATTCGTGGTACCTCTCGGGAACGCTCTTGCTCCTCGTCTCCGTTGGTGTGCGCTATTTTTAGCGATGCCGATCTTATCTCGGCGAGAAAATAACGCGGGCGCACGTACGGCGGGCCCCACCGACGTGTAAAAAGGGACCTCTCGTCCCTCCTTACCTCTTCCTGACCCCGAGACGTTCCCGTCAACAACACGAGGGATACTTGCGCGATTCGCATGGGTAACACCTCGCGTGCTGTACAGCGAACGATCGCGATTCCCTGGAAAAGAGAAAATCCTGCTCGCACGATCGAGAGGAGCGACATTTCCAGGGCGGATCCGCCCGAGAAATACGAGTACACCAAGTCAAGAGAAAGTCAAAATGATTTTTTGTAATAAAATTTAGTAACGTTAAAAATCGAAATAAAATTATTCTGATTTCTTGTTGATTTTAATTGCGTTCCATTGGCGGTTGACGGCATCAGGAGGCAATGAGAACGTAAATTATTTACTTAATACTATTCGGAGAATTAAGGAGAAACGTATATTAAGATTTAGTAAATTTTTTTCAGTGTAGTAACATTAATATTTATTACAAAAAAAAATGTGCTAGTTGCGTACAGAATGAAAATTTAAATAACCGGTACGATAGAAAACTAGTCGCATGGCGAGCGATTTAGAGGTAAACCCGATCTTTTGCAATCACTTTCACCACATTACTTACGAATCGCGGACAAACAGACGAAATATGTATACGTCGCAGTAACAGTAGCGACGCAATTACCGCGGAAGCGGCTTATGATTCAATGTTTGCGCTTTAAACAGGTTTGCGCGGATTTAGCTCCAGCGCGTACAAATGGCAGAGTAACAAATCATGTTTACACACATAAATATGGAAACGGATGCCAGAGAGAATAATTTAAAAAAAAAAAAAAAAATGCAGGATTCACGTAACGCGCCCTTTGAGAATTCCGTCGAGCAACGCGCACCGAGATTACATTGTTCCCTGCCCGCAGTCATTATAACAATTTTTATCTGATTTAAGAATAAAAATGAAACTGCGATGTTCATTGTTTTCTTCTTATATAATTATAATGAAATTATAAAGTTTAGTGCTACTTTTTTTTTATATACCTCTCATGATTACATTTCGCGAAAGAAAAACGTCATCGTATTATTTTTTAAATTTTTTAATACGATTGGTCTTGTGCCCTCAGTTTTTTGCTGGATCTAAATGTATAATAAATCAATCATATTAAAGAATTTTACAGCAATTGTAAAGTTGTTTTTTTTATTGAACACAGCGATTGTTCAACATGCTTCAGATTAATTGCTATACGTGATTACTTTGATGATCAACAAAATTATTTTCAAATCTCTGTATCTAGCTAAGTTTCGGATACTTTATCAAAATTGTTCTTTCCGTGTTGGAAAAATAGATGGACGCTGCACGGGTTTTCTCAAAGTTTCTTCATCTTGGCGAACCAAAGCATTCTCCGGTATCTCAATCGCTAAGTAAAGACGCAAACCACGGTGTCTACAATATGGGATCTGAAGGCGTAAAACTTAAGCATTTATTCCGGAAACACAATGAATGTAGCAAGCTTTAATACGGGGAGCATGGATTCTTGCATAATGCATAAGCCAGGATCTGTAATAGAATTTTAAGCCTTATGCCATAAGAAATTGACGAATTACAGTCAATTATTCTCCTCGTATTTGACTGTAATTGAACAATTTCTTACGGCTTAAAGCTTAAAACATTTACTGTAGATCTGGACTAATGCATAAGAAAATGTACCGATCAAAGTCCTTCGTCTCCATGAAATAAAGAACTCTGATTGGTTGAATTTCTTTTGTTATGCTTTATGCAAGAGTCTGTGCTCTCCGCTTATAAGTTTTAAGAAATTGATCAATCACAGTCAAATGTGAGAAGAATAATCGACTATGATTGGTCAATTC